ACACTCAACACAACAGTATTTACAAATCATAAAAGATTAATCTCACAATACAGTGGTACAGGGATACAGTGGTACAGTGGGGATCTCTCACACAATAAACAATTCATATTATCAAGGAATTTCACTATTTCTTCAAATGAGTAAAAACATCCCTTACAGAACAATTTATACTATTTTATAATACATAACTAAATTTCACTGGAAAATCAATTGAAATGTAAAATTCTTTTAGACAATTGGAAAATCGATCAGTACTATTACTAACAATTTGAAGTTCAATTCATTCTATAATACTACAGTCATTACAGGCTCCAAATAATGATAAACGTTACACAATACTTCAAATCAGCTGATAATGTAAACAATACAACAGCTCGGCAAAGTCGCTACTTCTAGTACACTTTATGTTCACGACTCAAAAATAGCATTTGTCATTTAACTGATCTATCTATGTTTGAATTTTTAAGAATGAATAAAACCTCAGTGTTTTATCAAATTAGACATGTAGATTATGTTGTAGGAGATCTCAGACTACACAAAACATTTCAGTTTAGAAACAGCACAGGTGGGCTTTACATAATATTAAATACCACATTTCACGTCATAGCGGAGATAAGCTGTTATCAGTACATTCTTTATTCCAGGTCACAGCCATCTACAATAAAAGGGAAGCAACTCCGAAATAAATTGAAAACTTTTTCTGTTATGTTATTTCTGTAAACATTTTAAACATTTTATATGTAAATAGTGTCTTCTAAATGTATCATATAGTCGATGCGATTTCTTAATTTCATAAAAACAATAGATCGACATAATGTTTTGCTGACCTGCTCCTATACCAAAAAGTTTGATGAGTGTTATTACCAAAAAGTAGATTAATTTGCACTGTATTAATGCAGATGACGGCACATTCAAAACGACATCACGTTCAAGATGACGTCATTTTTTCCTCTGTTCCTGGTGATACTCATGGTCTTAGTGATCTTTGATCTGACATGGTTTCCGTCTGGTCCTTGTGATACTCTTGGCCCCTGTGGTATCCGATCTGAGATGGTTTCCATGCGGTTAAGGTTATTCTCCAGGTATCTGGTGTTCTCTAAAGCTGTTGAGATTATGGTTCTGATATGGTCAGGCTTTTCTTAATAAATTAATCTGATGGTCTAAATGAACTTGGGGATTGCTAATGTATTGGAGCCAAATATAACTGGTTACTGAAACAAATCCACAATAGATCGACAACAGTTTCTGTTATGTCATTATTGTAAACATGGCTTTCAATATTATCTGTAAATCCCGTCTCCTAAGTGTATTATATAGACAGTACGCATTCTTAATTTCACAAAAAGAATAGATCGATATTATGTTGTGCTGATCTGGTCCTATTCCAGAACAGGAAAGTGTGTGTTATAACCTAACTTAGTTTGCACTGTACTAATGCAGATGACTTCAAATTCAAAATGACATCATGTTCAAGATGACGTCATTTTTTCCTCTGTTCCTGGTGACACTCGTGGTCTTAGTGATCTTCGATCTGACATGGTTTCCGTCTGGTCCTTGTGGAACTCTTGTTCCAGTGATCTCCGATCTGAGATGGTTTCCGTCTGGTCCTTGTGGAACTCTTGTTCCAGTGATCTCCGATCTGAGATGGTTTCCGTCTGGTCCTTGTGGAACTCTTGTTCCAGTGATCTCCGATCTGAGATGGTTTCCGTCTGGTCCTTGTGGAACTCTTGTTCCAGTGATCTCCGATCTGAGATGGTTTCCGTCTGGTCCTTGTGGAACTCTTGTTCCAGTGATCTTCGATCTGAGATGGTTTCCGTCTGGTCCTTGTGGAACTCTTGTTCCAGTGATCTTCGATCTGAGATGGTTTCCGTCTGGTCCTTGTGGAACTCTTGTTCCAGTGATCTCCGATCTGACATGGTTTCCTTCTGTTTACGGTTAATCTCCAGGTACCAAGTGTTCTCCAGAGTTGTTTAGATGATGGTTTCCCTCTGTTTACGGTTAATTTCTAGGTACCAAGTGTTCTCCAGAGTTGTTTAGATGATGGTTTCCCTCTGTTTACGGTTAATCCCCAGGTACCAAGTGTTCTCCATAGTTGTTTAGATGATGGTTTCCGTCTGTTTACGGTTAATCTCCAGGTACCAAGTGTTCTCCAGAGTTGTTTAGATGATGGTTTCCGTCTGTTTACGGTTAATCTCCAGGTACCAAGTGTTCTCCAGAGTTGTTTAGATGATGGTTTCCGTCTGTTTACGGTTAATCTCCAGGTACCAAGTGTTCTCCAGAGTTGTTTAGATGATGGTTTCCCTCTGTTTACGGTTAATCCCCAGGTACCAAGTGTTCTCCAGAGTTGTTTAGATGATGGTTTCCGTCTGTTTACGGTTAATCTCCAGGTACCAAGTGTTCTCCAGAGTTGTTTAGATGATGGTTTCCGTCTGTTTACGGTTAATCTCCAGGTACCAAGTGTTCTCCAGAGTTGTTTAGATGATGGTTTTTACAAACGTGGTAGCACGTCAACCTACCATGCAACAGACTCAATTTAAGACAACTGGGCCTTTTGGTTATTGAGAAGACGTTCGAAGATTATAACACGTTGGACTCGTGTAATCTTGAAAGTCCGTGAAGGTAATGAATTGAAAACAAAAATTGGTAGCCCTCCATTTCCCCATGCTACCCTGACGGATCCTGATGCCGTGCTTCGGTCAGCCCATCTGTTAATCAGTTGAAATACCAACATGGCAACATAATCGTAATTCAAACTCTAATTCCATAAAACTAGGGCAAAATATGATCAAAAGAAATATTTTCACGGTGACTCCAGAAAAATTACATAAAGAATAAGAACAGTTGTTCTGGAATAGTAAGCGTTTTCTGCTTCATTGACGACACCCTCTATGTAAACCATGGCCAATCAAAGTAAGTAATGTCAAGCTCTCAAACTAGAACAAGGTATACAACAAACTTTGTATTCAAAATTGTTATTAAAAAGAATGACAGTTCCCCTCGAATTAGAACGGTAAGAGTTAAAAATGCAATCGAATCCCCAATTAGTACATATTATTTTTTTCTCTATCTGAAGTAAAATGAGTATCCTGAAGGCAGTATATGTTATGTTTTTTTTTATTTAAGGTAAGAAAAGACGTCTTTTGTTTAAAAGTATCTGCAAGACCCTGGCAGTTGGCAGATAGAATTTTTATGTTAACAACATTAAAGGACTAAGAAAAATAGTAAACATTGACCTAGACTTATCAAATACATAAACATACACAACGAAAACACAATACTTACATGTAACAAGAATAAACAAGCAAAACATCGAGGATAACAATGGGAGGGTCTCGAAACCCACCACATTGTAAACCACGCTAATTACACCTGTGTCAACAGTGCTATGTTGGATGACTGTCTTGTGTATACGACGGTCGTGTAGTGTCACAGGTAGGCTTTGTTTACAAGTACAGGTGAGTAAAAGGCAATTAACTTTATGGTTTCGACTTTAAAAAGATACATGCAATAAAATTAACCTCATTGACACTTAGCTTCATTTCAATGATTTTTTCTTGAGAAAAGTGTAATTACTATGATTATCAACACAAAGAAAATAATGTGACATATTTTGTATGTTTTGATAGTAACTCTTCTCTTACATTGTATTTTTATTTAGTGCTGATATAAATATGTAATTCTTTGACAATAGAATATCAAAAATTTAAATAATGATTTTTTTTTTACACAAATTAATAACAGCTTGTAATTATAAGTTTACGATGAATCAGGAATACTGCTATTATCTTCACACAGGATTGGTGAAAATTAATTATCTCCCTTTGATTCAAGAATTTTGGATGTTCATTTAAACCTTCTTATAAAGACCACCTGTCTATAAAGACCTTTTTTATTTCCCCATGAGTGGTCTTTATATACAGGTTTGACTGTATAATATAATCATACCTTTTTATATAAAGATATTTTAAAGCATTTTAACCAAGATATTTCTATGGTACAGTAATCGGTTTCATTGACATCATTTCCTCAAAAACATAAGACTCCAAAAACAAATATAGACCGTCAAAGTATGCTCAGAGTGAAAATATAAATGGATATAGTACTATTGTTTAGGGCCCAAAATAAAAAAAAGGTTGGAAACCGCGTCAAAGTCAGCCGGCCCTATACCGAGATGTTGACGTGTAAAGTGTACGATTTTTAGCTGTCAACTAAGTAGAAATAGCAATACAGACAGGGAGATCTGGAAACAATTAGTTATGGAAACATTTTCCATTTATTACCCAATTTATCGGGACATTCGTACTACCTTGGGGACAATAACATGTCCCACAATTACGGTCACTTAAATTGCATCGAAACTGAAAGAGACGCCAAGAAAAATAATTCAATACACATCTCCCACAAAGATTTTTTCTTTGTCAATAGTGGCCTCATCAACCAGTTTTCGTCTTCTCTCTTCCTAGTAACTTTAGGAGGACATTATGTCTCATTTCTGTGAGGCCATTGCTTTGATGCTTCCTCACATACCGAAATAAATATGTGTCAACAAAGATTGTCTATGTCATCGAAAGCTGATCCAGATTTATTCAATATTCAGAGGATAAAATCGACGTCCCGATGATGGTTTTGTGGAAAGTATCCCCACCGTTACGTTGAAACCAGACAAAGGGGATAGAGAGATTTCGTTGCTTATACACAATTTTTGAAACAAATGCAACCGTTTATATCTACAACTTTGACATTCTATGAAAACTAGCAGAAAATAAGAAAGCATTTTCACAATGACATCCAAAGATACAGACCGTGGGGCTATCCATGACATCCACAGTTAAAGTTCTAGGACTATCAATGACATTCACAGATACAGATCTCGGGCCAACAATGACATTCACAGATACAGATCTAGGGCCACCAATGACATTCACAGATACAGATCGAGGGCTATCCATGACATCCACAGATCAAGTTCTAGGACTATCAATGACATTCACAGATACAGATTAAGAACTATCAATAACATCCACAGATACAGATCTAGGACTATCAATGACATCCACAGATACAGATCTAGGACTATCAATGATATCCACAGATACAGATCTAGGTTTATCAATGACGTCCACAGATAAAGATCTATAACTGTCAATGACATCCACAGATACAGATCTAGAACTATCAATGACATCCACAGATACAGATCTATAACTATCAATGACATCCACAGATACAGATCTAAGACTATCAATGACATCCTTAGATACAGATCTAGGCTTATCAATGACATCCACAGATACAGATCTATAACTATCAATGACATCCTTAGATACAGATCTAGAACTATCAATGACACCCACAGATACTGATCTAGAACTATCAATGACATCCACAGATACAGATCTATAACTATCAATGACATCCACAGATACAGGTCTAGAACTATCAATGACATCCACAGATACAGATCTAGAACTATCAATGACATCCACAGATACAGATCTAGAACTATCAATGACATCCACAGATACAGATCTAGAACTATCAATGACATCCACAGATACAGATCTAGAACTATCAATGACATCCACAGATACAGATCTAGGGCCACCAATGACATCCACAGATACAGATCTAGGACTATCAATGATATCCACAGATACAGATCTAGGGCCACCAATGACATCCACAGATACAGATCTAAGACTATCCATGACATCCACAGATACAGATCTATGACTATCCATGACATCCACAGATACAGATCTAGGGCCACCAATGACATTCACAGATACAGATCTAGGACTATTAATGACATCCACAGATACAGATCTATAACTATCAATGACATCCTTAGATACAGATCTAGGGCCACCAATGACATACACAGATACAGATCTAAGACTATCCATGACATCCACAGATACAGATCTATGACTATCCATGACATCCACAGATACAGATCTAGGGCCACCAATGACATTCACAGATACAGATCTAGGACTATCAATGACATCCACAGATACAGATCTAGGGCCACCAATGACATCCACAGATACAGATCTAAGACTATCCATGACATCCACAGATACAGATCTAGGGCCACCAATGACATCCACAGATACAGATCTAGGACTATTAATGACATCCACAGATACAGATCTATAACCATCAATGACATCCTTAGATACAGATCTAGGCTTATCAATGACATCCACAGATACAGATCTAGAACTATCAATGATACCCACAGATACAGATCTAGAACTATCAATGACATCCACAGATACAGATCTAGAACTATCAATGACATCCACAGATACAGATCTATAACTATCAATGACATCCACAGATACAGATCTAGAACTATCAATGACATCCACAGATACAGGTCTAGCGCCACCAATAACATTCACAGATACTGATCTAGAGCCATAAATGACATCCACATATACAGATCTAAGACTATCCATGACATCCACAGATACAGATCTAAGACTATCCATGACATCCACAGATACAGATCTAGGGCCACCAATGACATCCACAGATACAGATCTAAGACTATCAATGACATCCACAGATACAGATCTATAACTATCAATGACATCCACAGATACAGATCTAGAACTATCAATGACATCCACAGATACAGGTCTAGCGCCACCAATAACATTCACAGATACTGATCTAGAGCCATAAATGACATCCACATATACAGATCTAAGACTATCCATGACATCCACAGATACAGATCTAAGACTATCCATGACATCCACAGATACAGATCTAGGGCCACCAATGACATCCACAGATACAGATCTAGGACTATCAATGACATCCACAGATACAGATCTAGGGCCACCAATGACATCCACAGATACAGATCTAAGACTATCCATGACATCCACAGATACAGATCTAGGGCCACCAATGACATCCACAGATGCAGATCTAGGACTATCAATGACATCCACAGATACAGATCTAGGACTATCAATGACATCCACAGATACAGATCTAGGGCCACCAATGACATCCACAGATACAGATCTAAGACTATCCATGACATCCACAGATACAGATCTATGACTATCCATGACATCCACAGATACAGATCTTGGGCCACCAATGACATCCACAGATACAGATCTAAGACTATCCATGACATCCACAGATACAGATCTATGACTATCCATGACATCCACAGATACAGATCTAGGGCCACCAATGACATTCACAGATACAGATCTAGGACTATCAATGACATCCACAGATACAGATCTAGGGCCACCAATGACATCCACAGATACAGATCTAAGACTATCCATGACATCCACAGATACAGATCTAGGGCCACCAATGACATCCACAGATACAGATCTAGGACTATTAATGACATCCACAGATACAGATCTATAACCATCAATGACATCCTTAGATACAGATCTAGGCTTATCAATGACATCCACAGATACAGATCTAGAACTATCAATGACATCCTTAGATACAGATCTAGGCTTATCAATGACATCCACAGATACAGATCTAGAACTATCAATGATACCCACAGATACAGATCTAGAACTATCAATGACATCCACAGATACAGATCTAGAACTATCAATGACATCCACAGATACAGATCTAGAACTATCAATGACATCCACAGATACAGATCTAGAACTATCAATGACATCCACAGATACAGATCTATAACTATCAATGACATCCACAGATACAGATTATAACTATCAATGACATCCACAGATACAGGTCTAGCGCCACCAATAACATTTACAGATACTGATCTAGTGCCATAAATGACATCCACATATACAGATTTAGGGCCATCAATGACATCCACAGATACAGATCTAGGACTATCAATGACATTCACAGATACAGATATAAATGAATAACAAAAATAAAACACATTTGTTCTTTTTTATATTTATGAATTCTTAATTTTATAATCAAATAGAATCGAAATGCATTCAACACTACGTTTGCATGTAAAATTATTATTATTTATTATCATCAATATTTCACCATCACTATTACTTGTCGCCTTTTAAACAACAAATGATAAAAATGTAGAAGAAAAACAGGGATTACATTATAGATATACAAAATACGTATGAAAAATAATGTTTTAAAATCTATTGTCGTTTTAAACCAAGTGGTGACATGTCACCTGTCGGCGCCCCAATTTAATCAAATCTGTGGCATACGTCATCAAAACGGTGACAGTAAACAGGTAGCCCGGATGTAACAAGGTGCGCGATTACCTGAGCCGGTTCAAAGAGTTTCGAACAACGTAAATCAACTACCACAGGGCTGCTGAGGAAACATTAACAGGTAAGCAACAACCTGTATTTTCCTTCAAATGAGTTTGTATATTGCAAGCTAAATGGCAAATGAAATTCAACGATCGTCTTCGGTTGCCGGCGATCTCGAATGGCATTTATGGTTTCGGCGTGGGTGGGAATGTCGCTTGGGAAGGTATTCGGATATTTACTCAGAAGTGACTCACAAAGTTGATCAAAGTTCAGTGCAGTCGCATTTGAAAATATCTATGGAAAAATCGGATCACAGTTTAAGTCAGTTCATCGTTCTGCAAGTCCATAATTTCTTCTCTGCCTTTGGTCGGGGATTATTGTATTAGGTGTAAGGATACCTGTTTATAGCAAACGCGGAAGTGCAAAACAAACAAGTAAGTAGAACTAGACATAGTCTGTTGTATACTCATATGCGCTTGGGATGGTTGAGCTTATATCAGTTGAGTTCAAATTGTAACTTACATGTAAAATTAGTAGCTACAGATATGTACGTATCCTGTCCAATTAGCATAAACCACATCCAATAACGAAAGAAAAATCGAACTCGTTTTCTATATCTAGATTTCAAGAATGTTTAAAATTTCATTGTTGATGTATAGATATAGTCGTTATATCAGATCGTTTCCATATGGTTATCAACTGCCAAAATATTGTTAAAAATCAGTCTGTCTCATTGGACTAGTTTGAATATTGAAAATATTTAGATATTTTATCAAGTTTGAAACAAAAACTATCCAATGCAAAGCTTATAGACTGGCACCAAAATAAAGATAAAAAAGGACGTCCTAATGTATATAAAAACCTGGAAGTGTGTTCTAAGGTCAGCTTCATATGCCTCAGTATTTTACATCACTGGCTGAGTAGCTAGGATCTAGCTAGCCTTTGTATTGCTCTGCTAAATCATTTGAAATCAAAAACATTGTGTTTTTGTACTTTGAGGATTGTTTAAGTCCATGTTTATAAAGGAATACATTTTATTAACAAAAAGTAACAAAACAGATTCTTGACTAAATTCAATGAATTTCATTGTTGGTAGCATTTAGTGTTTGATATGGGGACAAAAAATGAAATAATATTTGTATGCTAAAATATTGGATGCCTTTATTTTTTTAATGAGGCCAATTAGTGTTATAACCCAGAATGACATGAGAAACATAAATTTCCAATCTTAAATCCTGTTTAGATCCCAAAATGGTTGATTTTCTAAGTAGTCATATATAGACCCACAAACCTGGTCCACATGCAGCAAATCAATTTCAATTTGGTGGTATTTCTTTGGTAAAGAGCAATCAAGTTGGAGTGTTCACTATCATTTTTGTACACCAGAAGTTTTTTTCCCTGTTAAGAAGAAAAATCTGGATTTGTACGCTTTAGTGGAGCTTGTTTTCAACACCACACACAGAAGGAAATGGTAACAAACATGTTATATAAACACTACCAATTTAACATTAGACAAAAATATGAAACTGAGTCATCCTGTTCTGCCCCTATAATACAGGCATGACAACACATTTCTGGTGTACAATAACTTCACGTTTGAAGACATAGAACAGGGCATGTTTTGTGTATATGTTGTCAATGTTATCTGTTATAGTGATGTGACAGCTGGGTCGTTATACTGATCAGGTCTCTTGTGACAGGTGTTATTAGATAATTAAGGAGAGAGGAACCCACGATAAGTCCATTACTGTATTAAAGCATCTCTTTGTACCATTTCACAAAAGAAGTATAACATAAATATTCTGTAATTTTCTAGCAAAATAATTTTGAATTGAATTGATTAATTATTTGTAGAATTGGGAGATTGCTTTTAAAACTGCCAGTTTTTGTAACTTTTTTGTCATCTTGATTAACGGAAATTTGAGTGATTTTTATTGTACAAACATGTGTTGTCAAGCTGAATAAGCTTGGAAGAACTTAGCCCTGAGAACTGTGAAACACATTGATCCTTGTTTAGCTCCATATCATCAGTATCCAATTTTGCACAAAGGGAAACGGTGCATAATTTTTTCTGATATTGCAAACCTTAGTTCCAAATTTCTGGATCAAACTGAAATGTTTCTTGTTTAATCATTTAAAAAAAAATTATAACAATTCCAAAACAACTTCCAGTTTAATATTAAATACTCTTGTTGCCCAGGACAGAAAAGCCCAAGTGGTCTTAGTGTGGAAGGAAACCAGAGTACCCAGGACTCATGGTTGGGCATTGGGCATGTGACCCCATGCCTGTTTGGGAATTGAACCCTGGACACCTACATTACAACTGTGCCACCTGAAAACCCTAAATGGTCAAATCTAAAATAATGTAAGGCACAATTCTGTTTCCATTATCCATGCAAGGAGGTTATAGTACAAGAATGTCGGGGTTGTTCTTGTGTGTTGGATGTTTTTTACAAGAATTGGGAAGGTCTTGGGTTTGTTTTGAAATAACTTAGCTGTAAAGTAAATTCACTACAGCAAAATAGAATTCTTGTTTTATTTGTTATAGTGTCATTGTTCCCTGTATAAAAAGAAGGATTAGATTATATGAGACCCCTGTACACAGTGTGTTTTTAATAGAATACTGATGACTAGTTCCTTTACATGAAATACAAGTGTCAAATTTCTTATCAATAGATTGTATGACACAAAGTTAAGGTAACTTATCGAGGGGTCATTGGATAGTAAGATTGCAAGGATGGGGCATAATCCTTAAAATGATTTATTACCTTGGATGTCCATCTTCTCACAGTATGGTTCTAGAATTATTTAATTTAAAATGCCACATGAAACCCATCAGCTATCATGTAACTCATAAAATGGCCGGGAGGTAATGAAAATAGATATCTTGGTTTGTTATGACTGGCACCACCAACCCTGTCTACAATATCAGTATTTTCATGTACAGTCTAACCTGTCATAACAGCCACCTTAGTTATACAGCCACCTGCTTATAACGGCCATTTTTGGACCTTCTCAATCGTTTTTGCTCATTAATGATACCTAATTTAACGACCGCCTGTCTAATGCAGCCAGCGGTCACACTTTTCGTCCCCAAACTTGCGATCGAACCTCGTTTAAACGGCCGTTTTGACCACAAGTCATTTGACAAGCTTTCATGACTGCAAGTGACGTTTGTTAGCAGTACACAGTTTCTCGGTGTGGCCATGGGTGATTTTTTTGTTCATTAGATTACCCCATTATAAGGGTTTTAATTAAAATTGAAAAAATAAATCCTTGCTAAAATTGGTCCTGTCATGTTTAAGTGGACAATGTGGGATTTCATTTTTTTCAGAATAATATTTTAGCTTTGTGTTGGAGATTACTGTTTCGGAAGTCTCAAATCTGTGTCTACGCACCAAAAACTAGCTTTACAGGAAGTGAAATTTTCATAGTGTTTACATGTGGTCATGTTATGAAGGATTTCCGAGTTTGAATTTGCTGAAATGTAAGTACTTTGTTACCATGACAGTGTTGTTGATTGTAAGATAGGTGTTTAGAATTAAATTTCTTCTAGAAAGTTGTAGTGTTAGGTTGGAATTAGCAGTATTTTTGCATTTTTAGCATTTTTTCAGTAGGTAACTATGACAATCAAATGTTAGAAATCGCAGGAAATTTTTTTTACATAAATTTCATCTCTCTACTGTTAATGTAATTGTTATGTAGTTTATAAATATATATATAAACGTAATGATGTCTTTTTCATAACCAATCTGCTATACCTGTATATCTCAAACATGACAAATAATTTCAGGAAAAATGCAAATTAACTGTTTCCTGCTACCTTTTCTGGCCACATGAATATTCCTACCAAGAAAACAGCTGATGGCACGTAAACACAATTCACCATGCATTTTATATATAGTTTGATTTCATTTACGTCACTGGTATACACAATACAGGCATATTATCACTATTGTGGTAAATCACTTCGAAATATGAGCAGCAAACCAACTCAGACCAAACCACAAACTGCCAAGTACAGGAAGACAGTGACAATCCTGATTATTAAACTGTATTCAAATATCAATGTGCAAATTGCTGCAACTTTGGTTCGAAAGTAAGGAACCGCAATTAAGAGGCCACCTCTCTATAAAGGCCACTTTCATAATTTCCCCACAGTGGCCGTTTAATACAGGTTAGACTGTATATGTCTTTTCAGATTTATTAATTAAGAAATCGATGAATTATTCTGACCCCTGAAACTATGGTTAAAATTAACATTCAAACAATTTTGAAGTGATAAGAAAACAAAATGGGTTGATGTAGATACTAAGTTTATTGCTTAATATGGTTAGCATCCCTTATCATATTGCAGGAATAACAAAAGTATTTGAAGACATTTCCTGTTAGCCATATTTGGCACTTTATGATAGGGCTAGAGTAGTGGACATCAAAGCCATCCATTTACAATTACAGTTCTATGAAGAAGTATTGCAGGGTTGGGTTTTTTTTTAATTTGTTTGTTTTGTTTTTGTTTTAAATTTTTTTGTATATAAATTTCAACACAGTTACTATATTGAAAATAGTATATGATAAAGAAGACTTTAGATAAAGGTGCTTTAATATTAATTGTCATCCATCTATTACTAATGAATAATGGGAGTCCTCCATCACTCAGCTATAGAACATCTCGCTGTACATGAATACCATTAAGAACAATATTGTTGATGTGTATTAAACATTGGATAATCAGTCGTGTTGGCAGCTGTCCATGTCGTATAGCCTCTGGTCATCATTACAGACTTAAATGTGATTACTTCTCAATTTAGAACTAGGAAGTCCACCAAGTGTAATTATATTCCTTCAACTAGACACACTGGTCTGATAGATTTTTCACCCTCAGCTGGGGAGTGTTCATTGTATAGCACTTCAGCATTTCCAGTTTACTAAGCTAAAGGGAGGGACGATTGTACCAGATGTACTGCCTGGTCTATTTATAGAAGAGGTGACACATTTTGCTGTCAATGGAATGTCAGTGTATTGATTTTCCTGGGCCAATGACAAAATTTCTCCCCTCTTGGAGTATGGTAATGTAGAAATATGTATGTCCAAGGGTAACCATTTTGAGAACAGTGCTGTGTAATACGACGTCCACACCACACCATATTGTATTTACGAATCAATACCTGGTTAACACCAATAGAGAGACGTCCTAGATTTGTTGTGGTGAGGCGACTGGATATTTGTTAAAATTTTTGGGTTGAACAAAGCCTGATTAGAAGGGTTCACAGAGGACAACAGAACAGGTAAATCTTAGCTGTGTCTCTAGTTTTTATAGAACACATTTTTTGATGAAACTACAATGAAATTAATTATGATGGGAAAATGAATTTTTTATTTTTTGATACAGATGATGTATTGCTTAGAGTTAAACAGATATTTGTAAGGCTGTTTAGTCATGGTATAATTGAAAGAAAGAATGATATTGAATTTGATCATCAGACATGGTATATGATAATGCATGATTACCAATAGGTAATGCCAACCATTTGCCAAATGTCTCAACCTTCTATCGTTGGAGGTCATTTCTTATGCACCTGTTAGGAATTGACCCCAAAACCGTGACTGGCTTTATAAGCTTAATGTTTCAATAACTAATTTCGTACCATAAAGCTATAAGAGAACAATTTTCCTGGTGAGATCAGCGACACACACTCCCAGTCTAGGAACGTGCCAATGGTGACATTCAGCAGTAATGTTAATGTCAATGCATATTTGGAAATAAATTTAATTTGAAAAGTATTCTTGGTATTTCCAGATAGAGTGAATACATTGGTAGCACTGTTGAATTCTGTTTATATATCAGTGTTTTCTCTATATCAGATATAGAGGTGGTTTAATTCTTATGCTTTTTTGAGGAGGAAACACTACTATGTCGTAACGGTCACCTGTTCAAGCCGAAATTTTCAAGGGTGTCGTACAATAAAGATTTAGAATATTCTCGTATCGTTGTAAAGTCAAAACAGTACATTTCTGTTAAAATATCAAAACCTATCTATTGAATCATCCAATCAGAGCCAAATTGTTTTGAAAGACCGTAATGTGCACATTTTCAAGCCTATTATTTAGCTCTACAGAAAACTGCTGAATTGAGAAGGAATTTTTCGGGGATATATTGATAAGAATGGCTTAAATAGGACATTATTTCAGTTTGGAATGGGGTCTATTATAGGCTCAAAAAGCCCGGAAAAGCCCTTGTATGTAGAAAAGTGATAATTCCAGGATGTATGGTCATGGAAGCACAAAACAACTTTTGTGTCTGAATGTTTTACTCTTGGCTAGAAATCACTGTTTTATGTTACAATTGATATTGTGATGCATGTTTCATGGGGAGATAATTGTCTTCATCGAGTATTCAGATTCACACTTAACTGCAATGTTTTAAAAAGGTCATAGGGTGAACATTAAATTGTAGTGTCTGTTTTTAAGGTATTAGGTCTTTCAATTACATATGACCTTTGAAATATGTGAGCTTATAAAGTTTTAAAGGGGTCGCTGACCTACAACAACAGAACTTAGTTTTTTTTTTTTTTAAAAAAGCAATGTATGTTTACTGTTTGTATTTATTTTGTCCTTTGTCACGCAGGATATCCATTGTCTGTGTCCAAGAATCGATTTTTATTAAGTTCAATTATGGTTAATCTGGGATCTGTAAGGAATTTGACACACTAGTAATTCCAATCAGTCATGTGTATAATTATCTGCTGAACACCCAGCTGGGTACAGATTTTGTCACTCAGTGACCAAGAGAAAGAGATCACCATTCAAGCTTTTGTGTGACTAAGATTCATAGTGAAGCAGATCAAGTCGTGTTCTTCCTACTGTGTAGATAATATGCCCCGACGCGATTAATGCATGAGTAACCTGTGAAACTGACTTCAGCTTGATCAGAAGACAAGTAAGTTTACTGATGGTAAGGTAGTTTACAAATGTAGATAATAAATCGTAATTGTTTCTGAGTGGTTTGAGCGTGATGTATATATTGGTATTCATTTAAATATAACTGTTTTTCTTAAACTTCATTAAATGAGGATCGTGAATTGAGGTTACTGTCTCACATCATTAAGATATGATAAAGTATAGACTAGCGTAGGTATCTACTGGTGACAAATCTGCCTGAAGGATATCTACCATGTGTCTACCTCTTGTGTAAAGTATATGTAATATGTAACAGGTTTATGGCAAAGCTGGCTTCACATAGCAGACAATCACTCGTGCGTCTAAGTATTCAGTACTTCAAGTCACAACCACTCAGGCATAGACAAGGAACATAGTTTTTAAAGAATTAATTTTTTAACATGCATTTTTACCACATTTGTCAATGTTTTAAATTTTGCGTAGGCAATCGGCTGTGTACTGTAAAATCTAAAATGTCTCCATACAATGGGCCATCCAAAACATTTACTGACAATGGTGAGAACTATTGTATATACGTACCAAAGACAGCTCCAAGGGAAAACTGTGCATCACAATTATATTGAATTGTCATATGTAAGTCATATCATGTGATATCTTCAAGGGAAAACTGTGCATCACAATTATATTGAATTGTCATATGTAAGTCATATCATGTGATATCTTCTGAATTGTACATGTCATGTGATATTTTCTGAATTGTATATGTCATGTGATATCTTCTGAACTGTACATGTCATGTGATATCTACTGAACTGTACATGTCATGTGATATCTTCTGAACTGTACATGTCATGTGATATCTACTGAAGTGTACATGTCATGTGATATCTACTGAACTGTACATGTCATGTGATATCTACTGAACTGTACATGTCATGTGATATCTACTGAAGTGTACATGTCATGTGATATCTTCTGAACTGTACATGTCATGTGATCTATACTAAATTATGTAAATCTGTGATATTTTGTATCATCAACTGTCTCGGACAATACAGAATAATGTAGAATTATATCGGTCATGATAATTTAGAATCATAAAAATGCACCAGTTTCATGGCATGGATTTAAAATTTTAAATCCTGTGTCTACCAGCTTTTTTTAACAACATCTGAATTTCAGTAATTGATTCATGATCATACTTGAAATTGTTATGTATTTATAACTTTAAAGTTTGAAGCATATAATTAGCTGTATCTAAGTATATTATAGTCGTGGCTGACAAGTTGTAATCAAGATTACCAGTGGTTAACTTACTCATGGTTTAAATTTGAACAATATTGACATATGCGTAATCACATCCGTTTTCCGGTAAGAGTCTTGAGTCATTGATCTTGCCGACAAATAGGACAGACCTGTAAACTATAGGTAAGAGAACAAAGCAACTTGTACTTCTAGATGTACAAACAGGTATGTACAGAGCTTGTACACAATGTTATATCTTTCAGAATGATATGTTTGGAAATTTTCAGCTGGGTCCTTTGTTTCCCTAGAATTTACAGGAATGTTGATATATATTCAGATTCACACATAATGTATTTAATATTTACATTTATATCATGGCCTTTGTAATAGGCAAACAGTTGACCTGCAGGTTTTTTTCAGGTCTTAAAAATTTTTTTAGAAAATGTTATAGATCTAGATTTATTTGTGAAGAAAAAAATCCAAAATGTTTGGGACTTATTGACCAAAGATTACAAGTTATTGACTTGACTGTCAGATTGGTAGTTGGAAGATGAATGTAAATAAAGATGATAAATATCTAGATATCTGTTAAACTGATATCTTATTCACCATGGAAACATGAAATCTTGATTTAAAATAAAACTGTGTATCCACAGTAAAAGTGACAGTATATGATAAATCTTGATGTTTTGGTTGAATGCCTGTCAGACAACAGATATTCTCAAAGGTGATTTGATACATTACTATAGATAGCTTGTACAGCCCTGTATAAAGGTTATTGCCTCACAGATACTTATGTAACAGTGCCCAGGGCTTCTGTTCATTGTTGTCGATACTGACTAGGGGCCATAATGCAGACCATTATCACTAAAACTGCTATCTGTTATACGTGATCATCACATTGTTCAGTAAAACCCCCTCATCATAACCATATAATGACCTCTGTGGCCTGATAATGAAGATCCTTTGAAAATGTAGTTGTTTTCACTCGGAATGCATTGTCAGCAAAGCATTGATATTTCAACCTTGGGCAAAGAGGTGTGTAGTTTGATTTCTACTCAGACAGGATGTTTTCCACTTACTGTAGTTGGGAAAGGGCTTTTTTTAGGTCATTTTTAGAATAAAATTGATAAGTTGGGAGGGAAATTTTAAGGACTAAACTATATATATTAGGAATTCAGCTATGTTATGAAACAAATCTAATTGGAAATTTGGCCTGTAAAGCTCCTTAGAGTCCGTTGACATATCCTACAATGCTGTTGTTTCCTTTGATAAACACTAGACAAATGATTTAGATGACGTGGCGAGCCTCCCGCATGTGAGTAATTACCAGTTATTCAAGAAGTCCAAGTCTGAAAATGATTCTGGCTGTCAAGATGGGAAATAATCCCAGTCACAAATACTCTGAAGAATGAACTTGTTGGGACTTTTACAGAATTCACACACCCTGGAGTTATAATGTAAAACATATCAATACATTAACAAAATCAGGGTTATTTAAATACAGATTTGGATGTGGAAGAAAGCTGGCATTCCCAGAGAATAACCACCGTTGCCAGTACCTGACAAAATTCCCAAGTAGGCCTCGACATGTAAACCAAAGATTGAGGGAGGGTTAGTGGTAAATATGGTCGCCTATGCCACTTGGCCAGCACAGTCTTGTCTAAGCTGACACTTACTATTCCAAAATAATGTACTATCAGAAAATATAATGTCCTGGGTAATTCAGTTTGAGAGAGCATATGTTATAAATAAGATTGGTGTCTTAGGACATTTTGTATAATCGGACCAGTTGTCTCCCAAGGCTACAGAATTAGATATCACAATGTATGTACATGTATACTTCTGCAGGTCATTTCAGGTACCTCATGTTGTGTGAACAGGTTGAATGTCAAGTTGGAATGTCCAGCTTATGTCAGTGTGATGGCACTAACTCAGCCCTATCACCCAGCAGGTCAAAGGTCATATTATAAAACCCACCAGATAGGATGTTTTTTCATTGCAGAAAATGAAATTAACTTCATGAAAACATTATTTATTAAATTGATGGAATAAAACAAAAAAATTCTATTAATTTATTTAATTTATAAGAACATTAACAGTATGTTACTAAGTTTTCTCAGAAGTAACCAGGGTAATAGAGAATGTTTACAGGCAAATTTGTAATATCTGGTACAAACATTCACTTCAGTTGAGGAAGTTCTAACTTGAGCAGTTGTTTGCACTGCATTTGTCTAGGCAGATGTTTCACGGACCACCTAGAGAAAGAGTGGTAGTATACATGGACACTATGTAGCATGGCAGTCATTGATTTACCAGTATACATGTCTGGCCAGAACCGTCAGCAAACACACATCAATTATGTATAGCCTAGAGTGTATGTAATTATTGACTAATGCAGTCTGTGAAATTTTTAACTTTTTTTTTTAAATAAAAAAAACCGATTCCTAGCAACTAGCAATGGACAGATTGATTTTATTAAAGATTTAGGTGTGGTATACACACACCGAAAGCAAACAACACTCTTATATCTGTTACCTTGTGTCACAGTACATCGACCATGCAGTGAAGTTGTACATCATATCTGATGAAAACGAACATAAAATTTCAAGGCCTATTTACACAACAAGTTCTTACTCCTATGGCATTTGTGACTAACATGTTTCCAAATGTCCAAACCAAATGTTCTGCTTTTCAAATTAGGATTTTATGATATTATATGATGCTTTTACAGTCAATGATATTAAAGGGGAAATGGAGTCGTCCTCGCTTTGTTAGATAACCACAAGGCTGGTTTACAGGGTCAGTACGGTAAAGTTTTTGAATTTATAATGTAAATTAGATGGAAGGAACATGAGTCATCTACTGATTGCATACATTTAAGCGAGATAAAATTTCTGAAGTTAATGATTGTCTGAAAACGTGTTACATATGGAGGTGTTAGAATGTGTCTATAAATATCTTGCTAATGGAGCAGGTATATGCACCATTATATACATGTTTGTTAACCACAAGTGTATTGTGTTTTTGATACAAGTAATACTTTCGCAAGCAAGTGGCTGTTTGAGATGACAGATACATATTTCCTTCTATTTATGGTATTTTGAATGTGTGTCACTGAAGAGGACAGACCTATAATATTAAGTCCAGTACAGGGGATGAGGCATGCAATATTTTCTTGCTCTTCCATCCATACATGTCTTTGGTCAAACTCAGGGTAAGATGTATTTATTTTATAATCACATACAATGGATTCACCCAAAATTGGACAAATCAAATAATCAAAAGATTGCCATGTGACTCTCAGAGGTCTGTAATTTAAGGATCCATGGACACTGGTTATAAACAAGATACCAGTCTTAAATGTCTGGATGTAACATGGACTCTGATTCTGAACTGGATGTAACACAGGTCACCATAATTGCAAATGGTGAATAAAATCATTGTCAAGAGATCAAATTCTTTAAACATTTTTTTATTCAGTTGCAATATAGAAAAAAATGCATTTTCATTCATTAGTATGCCAAATAGTTATTTACTTCAGAATTAGTGGGGTTTTTTGTAAATTGTAATGACAACCTAAAACTGAAGTAGTAACAAATATTCATGGCAATATATTATTTAAATAGAATGTAATTTTTCATAATTTGACAATACTTGAGAAGGAAATAGATTTTCAAATGAACAGTCTTTGGTATCCCGTTACATCCAGGAAGTCATGTAAACAGCTTTTCTCCATCATTCAAAACAGAACTATCTTCTCCTTTACTGGTCAGGATCCAACATCCCTTGATGATGTTAAATCTACCACTCCATGGTGTTTCACCATTTTTTAAAAATGGTTGTTTCGAACATAAACAAATATTTTATGACACCAAAAACTTGCTCTTATCAAGTTTGGGCATCCATTGTCAAACTAAGGATTCAAAATTCTGACTTTATGGGATGAGAATCTTTATACTTTTTTACATGTATTGATAGTAGTGTTGTAGTATTTACTAGCTTAATTCACTGCCTAAAATTCATTACAACCAAAAATAAACTTTGCTGATTGTTGACGTGCACCTTTTGTATTTTTCAGAACAAAAGAATATCTCCTAAGATGTGGTCTCTAATCCTGCTGCTTCTGGGTAGCAGTTTATCATTAGGCCAAAATGAGTGTAAGTACAAGGCTATTATCACTTTCTTTAATCCACCAGCATATTAAACCTTCACAAGAATTGACACATGAATTGATAACCATATTGATAGAAAACAGATAATTTACATTGTACTTCTAGGCGACAGTTCAGACTTAATTCTAATGAATGCTTTACCACATATCTAAATATGATTTGTTATAAAGTTCTTTATGCATTATCACGAGTAATAATTTTACAATATTTCATGTCAGAGAGTCGGTTACCTGAGTTGAGAAAATATTTGTATATTAGGAAATTTCAGGGAGATGGTAACCTGATTTGTTAGAATTTATGTGATGGAATTTGATTTCAAAGTGATAACATACATATTTCTTTGGTACATGTGATTATACTAATATTACATATATTGTCTGTTATGATGAACTTTTGTATTTAAGTGCACAACCATGTTCACAGACAATAGGTTTGTATCTTATTATTTTTATAGGGGAATTGGAGAACTGTAAGTGAAGCACTTTCTTTTATGTTGTGACTCACAATAAAAACGATCACAAATAGATTTTGTCTCTGACATGGAGTCGACAAAGTCATAGGGCAATCTAATGTCGTGTTAGTGATGGGAAATCGGTTAAAAAGTCCATACTTTCTCCTACCATAATGAATTTTTGTGTGTTACTTTGATATAAAATACCCCACTTACATAGAATTTGCTTAGGAATGAATATCATACACAGTTTCTGTCTTTATCATGCATGATATGAAATTGCTGAAACACAAGAAAATATAGAGGTACTGATGATCAATTATGAAAAATTACAATTGATCATCTCATCAGATCAGATTAAGAAATGAGATCAATTATTATATCCAATGTCCACCTATCTATAACAAGTGTTGAACTACAGCTAGTTTTAAAGGATCTTAAAGAGAAAAAAAATTATTGACAATAGTGATCAGACTTGTCAAACTTTTGATAGACCCCTTACTGAGAGAAAAAGTGGCCACATGTTCTCAGAATTTGAATGAGTCCCAAAGGAAAAGCACAACCTGAGGACTTGAATTTCTGAGTCCCAATAATCACTTTAGATTTTTAGCTCACCTGGTCCAAAGGGCCAAGGGAGGTTATGCCATACCGCAGCATCCGTCATCCGTCTGTCCTGCGTCCGTCCACTTTTCATTTAAACAACTTCCTCTGAAATACCAAAAGGCGTAGAGTTATCATATTTGGCTGGAAGGTTCCTTTGATAATGCCCAACAAAGTTTGCAAAAAAGAAATGACCTTGACTCATATTCAAGGTCACAGAGGTCAAATGTGTTAAAACATTTAAATGACTTCTTTTTAAATACTGGAAGGCCTAGAATCATTATATATGGCTGGAAGATTCCTTTGGTGAAGTCCAACAAAGTTTGCAAAAAGAAATGACCTTGACTCATATTCAAGGTCACAAAAGGGGGAGGGGGTGACCAATAGGAGAAATGTAAGTTCTAATAATCCTTCTTAGGTTATTGTCCAAGTTTGGTCTAAAGCATTTCTTTATGAACAGTGAAGCTGACTTCTGTTCGACCACAAGGCCAGTACCCAATAGGGAAACTATTTTGAAATTATTTATTGAATGACAGAATATATAGCTGATACATAAGCCAGGTGAGCAATGCAGGTACCTGGAGCCTTCAGTTCCCTTTTCTACCTGACTTTCAATTTGGTTTGTGACCATATACCATCATCTGGGTAAATTGCCTGTTTTTCTTCAATATTCAATTTGATGTGGATGTTACTGCCTTTTCATTAGAGTACCTTGTATAAGTAAAGTAAGTATGGGCATAATCACCTGAAACCAGTATCTAAATATATTGCAATATATAAAAAAGATATTGTGATTATATCTTGTGTTTTGTTTTAACTTCATTAAATTCAACTAAATTCATTATGAAATGATCCAACTGTCGTAGGGGAGTTTTACCATTTAATTTAACCTGGGTAATAAGTTGGCAACAGCACAGGTTGAAAATTTAAATTGGAAGAAGTAGGGGGTATATTGTGTTCCCCACGTTCATGGGGATTTGGTTTCTGCACCTTAACCTTAGAATGCCAGTAAAGAATTGAATAATATTTTGCAGGTATGTTGAAATCTAAAAAATCTATGCCAAGTTCTATTTTCGCTTATTTCTGGCGATTTCTGCCAGAGTCATAACTCTTTCATGACTTAGAAATGTGAAAACTTTGGCTTCCACACCATAACTGTAGAATGCCTGAATAGAATAAAGTAGTATTTTGCATGAATATTGAAATCTAGGCCAACTTAGACTTTCACTTATTTTTCAGCAATTTTTACCAGAGTTATGACCCTTTTCTTGACTTTTGATACAACTCAGCAAGTTCCTCATTGCGATCCTTAAAAGTTAAGGTCTCTGTGCATTAACTTCCAACAGGGTTTTCTTCAATTAAATGTATATATTCACTACAAGTTGAGCTTAGTTTGAATGAGTTATGCCCCTTGCACTTAGAAAATTTCAAGCAGTGCTCATAATCTTATTCAGACATTTTTATGTGAAATTTGGTATACACATGTATTATGGGGGGAAATGGTCATGTTTTTTAGTTGGGTTGGGTTAAATGATATTAAATAGAGTTATGCCCCTTGGACTGTAAGCGTCAGATCATTGGTACAGAATGTCATATATATACAATTGTACATACATGCATCACATGTCAGTTCTGGATGAAACCGGTCAGCGATACATAATGAATATATATTACCTTACTCCTCCTAGCTTGTTGCCATTGTCATTCTACTTAGCTTATCCAAGTTTTCCAATTACCCTACATACCAGGTAGGTTTCCGAGTAAGGAGTTGAACCATTATGAAAGCAACAGTGTTGGTTTCATACCTTGAGTTGTATGTCTAGTCATCTATTTTGGAGCCCCTGCATCTACTACAGATTCTGCCGAAGGAATAACCGAGTCCAATTGGACTATTTCTTACCAACGATAATGGCAGAGAAAGACTTTTTGTTTAGATCCCTAAATGGTAACAACAAGGAGGAGAACTCTAGCCAAGAACTTAAAAACAAAGGTGGAGGAGTCTATAGAAGGTCATAGGTCACACATGTGACCCCTTTCAGTGTCATCACAATATATGTTTGTCCAAATTTTGAGTAAAATTTTCTTACTTGAGTGTCCTGATAAAGGGCATCAGTTCTTGGCGAAACCGATCAACAATGAATTTATATCAGATTACTCCAAGCTTGTTGTCCTACTTATCTAGTCCCAGCTTTTATACAGATATGTAAATTGTTTTTAGTAATCTGAATGACACATTATTGATTTGAAAAAAATCTACCCATAACATAACAAAACAGTGACATGGGTGAGATTCCCATTTTGCTGTTGACAAAGCAAGTTGCGTATGACTTGTCAGTCAAAGCAAATCAATTTTGTATAAACAGTAGGTCTTGCCTCCCCACTTAAGCAGGAGAGGTGGGTTCCAGTTTGGGAATATTAAGTTCTTCAATTTTTTTTTACAGTACAAGCATATTATTCAGTTTTAGTCTAAAGCAATAAATATTAAATCAAGCATCTGTTTGACCACAAGGCCTTGACCCAATAAGAAATTATTTAAGAAATTATTATTTCTCATATTTGAAACATTTTGTTAAATGACTGAATTAGTCAGGTGAGCAAGGCAGGCCACTTGGGCCTCATTTTCATACTGCAACATGAACTGAAAAGGGAGATAACCCCATGGAAATCACACTTAAAATTACTTTGATATAATATATTGTACAATTAACTAAATTGTAACATTAGTGATTTGATGCCTTTTTCTCTTCTTTAGTGATAAAGAAACCCCCATCAATGACCTCCAGCTTCCAACAAGAATATGCCGTTGCCGATAAAGGCAAGGTTGAGTTCATTGTGAGCTGCCAAGCTAGTGGAAGTTTACCTATCACGTAAGTAGCCTCATGTATTATCATGTGTCACACATCACATGTCATGCCAATTAATGTAAAATACTCTCCAGATCCCTAGGTATACTTACCGAATGAAAAAGTTTATAATAGTCTTACTTTTTGTTGAATTTAGACTTAGAGTATTCAAAGAGTTAAAAAAGAAAAAAATAACTGTTTAGGGATGGAAAGGTCCAATATACAGGGCTAGCTCTGGGTCAAAATTCAGTTTCGCCAAACCAAATTTTTTTTTTTATAAGCGTGCGAACAGATTCCGGAACTCACCCTCACCCGACGAGCACTTAATTTCCTCATATAATAAAAACACATATGCTAATTATATAATTACATTATTTATTCACTGTTTTAACAACAATACATCAAACATAACACAGTATATGGTAAAAGAGTTTATAAACATGGAATTATTACAGGCCTTCTGCATCTCGACAGTTTGCTGTTGTGTTGCCAAAGCAGCAGAGTGAGAGTTCTCATCTGTAAAATTGAAAATAAAATTTAGAATAGAATTGGACATTTGCAGAGAGATACAGGATTACATTGAACCTTATTTTACACCATCAAAGTATTATACTTATTACAGTAACTTCCTAAGTAATATATCTCTTAAAAACACTTCAGAGATAATAAAGACATAATCGTTAAACTAAAAGATTGTGTTTCTAATTCATGTGCCAAGCAGGCTGTAATGAGTAACTACATTGTACCATCCTCCAGGCTGTATAGTATTTCTGAATTACTTAATCTAAATTTGCATAATTTTCTGTTCATAAATGATGAATAGTTGTATATACTGATCCTTTCTCATGCTTAACCAAGCACTTCTTCTTCATGATACTGCAGCCATCAGTGAAACTATTTCTAACTAATGCCTTAATACATATGTCACAAAACATGAGCTTTTGCTCTGGGTCATATTTTAGCCATGGCCTGCCAATTTTCCAACTATCTAGAAACTTTCTTGAACTACTGCCCCTGTTAGTAACCTGATCAGGACTATCATTTTCCTTTTCAATAGATGGTGTCTTAAAACCAAATGATGACAATCTGGGTACTTTCCCATCCCTATCACTAAAGGGGAGTTTACGTTTTCCCATTTTATCTAACGATCTATCTCAGTGAAGGGCCAAATCTGATGTGACCAAAATATGTACAAAAATATAAAACAAAATCGGCAACATAGTGTAAAAACAACGAAATTATATCTTGTGTTTCTTGCTATTTTGATTGTCGATCAAAAAGCCCATTTCGGGCCCTTTCAAATACACTAGTTTACTAAGTTATGTCTGCAGAAATCACAAACTCGTGCCCAATTAACGACATCGACACACCTAATGATCCACCTACCGTAAGCCAATTCCCGATAAAACAACATCTTTCCTTCAGCTAACTTACCTTATTGTTCACGGCAGAGGCTATCTCGGATTGAGACAATGGAGACATCATTGGATAATTGGTGATTTTCTTTTCAGGCGTGTTGCTGTTTAGACAGGTAAACGTTTCTGTCAAAACACAAAAGAGTTCCGATAGCTGACCTTGCCCCAGCTGCGTGAGTCAGTCAACCGTGAACGTGTAGTACACAACGATGTCGGAGCAAAATTTACCTGTGTCACTCGTTACAAATAAGTTAAACGCCAGTGACATCGGTGACTGGAAATGTCTGTAATCGGCATTTTCGCCAATAGAAATTTGAAATCGCCAATCTCATTTCACTTTCGCCAATGGCGCCATTGGCGATCGCCAGCGCGAGCCCTGTTATTATATGTTTGTGAGGCGATGATTTAGCTGTTTAAATTTGATAGGAACAAAGGAAATGATTCAGTCTTTGTTAAAATTTAATGGAGACTGAACGTAACGATTATTAAAACAGAATTTTGAAATTAATTGTGGCAGTGACAATTTATGCTAATTGGTATCCACGTTTCTCCCCAAAGTCTTTATAGAGTACATAATAACTTCATCATATCGTACATTATGTATATTACAGATACACATGGCAAGTGGACGGCAGGGAAATTAATAACCATATGTACAGAAATTTGTATCCAAATGGCACTCTCTTTATCAGTGTTTCCAATGACACTTTTAGTCCCTACGGTGTTTATCAGTGTTTCGCTACAAACTCCTTGGGATCAGCCATGTCCACGAAGTTCACTCTCATGAAGCCTCGTAAGTATTTGATGGGTATCTGTACTATCAACAGTAAACTGTGTTTTATATAGGGTGGTGAATCTGTTACTATACCAGTGTTGTATTTTATAGAGGGAGGTGAATCTGTTACTATACCAGTGTTGTATTTTATAGGGGGTGGTGAATCTGTTACCCTACCAGTGTTGTATTTTATAGAGGGTGGTGAATCTGTTACTATACCAGTGTTGTATTTTATAGAGGGAGGTGAATCTGTTACTATACCAGTGTTGTATTTTATAGAGGGTGGTGAATCTGTTACCCTACCAGTGTTGTATTTTATAGAGGGTGGTGAATCTGTTACCCTACCAGTGTTGTATTTTATAGAGGGTGGTGTTGTATTTTATAGAGGGTGGTGAATCTGTGTACTATACCAGTGTTGTATTTTATAGAGGGTGGTGAATCTGTTACTATACCAGTGTTGTATTTTATAGAGGGTGGTGAATCTGTTACTATACCAGTGTTGTATTTTATAGAGGGTGGTGAATCTGTTACCCTACCAGTGTTGTATTTTATAGAGGGTGGTGAATCTGTTACTATACCAGTGTTGTATTTTATAGAGGGTGGTGAATCTGTTACTATACCAGTGTTGTATTTTATAGAGGGTGGTGAATCTGTTACCCTACCAGTGTTGTATTTTATAGGGGGTGGTGAATCTGTTACCCTACCAGTGTTGTATTTTATAGAGGGTGGTGAATCTGTTACCCTACCAGTGTTGTATTTTATAGGGGGTGGTGAATCTGTTACTATACCAGTGTTGTATTTTATAGAGGGTGGTGAATCTGTTACTATACCAGTGTTGTATTTTATAGAGGGAGGTGAATCTGTTACTATACCAGTGTTGTATTTTATAGAGGGTGGTGAATCTGTTACTATACCAGTGTTGTATTTTATAGAGGGTGGTGAATCTGTTACTATATTAGTGTGTGAATCTGTTACTATACCAGTGTTGTATTTTATAGAGGGAGGTGAATCTGTTACTATACCAGTGTTGTATTTTATAGAGGGTGGTGAATCTGTTACTATACCAGTGTTGTATTTTATAGGGGGAGGTGAATCTGTTACTATACCAGTGTTGTATTTTATAGAGGGTGGTGAATCTGTTACTATACCAGTGTTGTATTTTATAGAGGGAGGTGAATCTGTTACCCTACCAGTGTTGTGTTTTATAGAGGGTGGTGAATCTGTTACTATACCAGTGTTGTATTTTATAGGGGGTGGTGAATCTGTTACTATACCAGTGTTGTATTTTATAGGGGGTGGTGAATCTGTTACTATACCAGTGTTTGTATTTTATAGAGGGTGGTGAATCTGTTACTATACCAGTGTTGTATTTTATAGGGTGTGGTGAATCTGTTACCCTACCAGTGTTGTATTTTATAGGGGGTGGTGAATCTGTTACTATACCAGTGTTGTATTTTATAGAGGGTGGTGAATCTGTTACTATACCAGTGTTGTATTTTATAGAGGGTGGTGAATCTGTTACCCTAGTGTTTGTATTTTATAGGGGTGGTGAATCTGTTTATACCAGTGTTGTATTTTATAGAGGGTGGTGAATCTGTTACCCTACCAGTGTTGTATTCTACACTAGTGTTTGTATTTTATAGAGGGTGGTGAATCTGTTACTATACCAGTGTTGTATTTTATAGAGGGTGGTGAATCTGTTACTATACCAGTGTTTGTATTTTATAGGGGGTGGTGAATCTGTTACTATACCAGTGTTGTATTTTATAGGGGGTGGTGAATCTGTTACTATACCAGTGTTGTATTTTATAGGGGGTGGTGAATCTGTTACCCTACCAGTGTTGTATTTTATAGAGGGTGGTGAATCTGTTACTATACCAGTGTTGTATTTTATAGAGGGTGGTGAATCTGTTACTATACCAGTGTTGTATTTTATAGAGGGTGGTGAATCTGTTACTATACCAGTGTTGTATTTTATAGGGGGTGGTGAATCTGTTACTATACCAGTGTTGTATTTTATAGAGGGTGGTGAATCTGTTACTATACCAGTGTTGTATTTTATAGAGGGAGGTGAATCTGTTACTATACCAGTGTTGTATTTTATAGAGGGAGGTGAATCTGTTACTATACCAGTGTTGTATTTTATAGAGGGTGGTGAATCTGTTACTATACCAGTGTTGTATTTTCCTCACATGTATAATAACTCTCTCTGTATTTCTTAGTCAATTCTAAACTGTATGGATTGGTTGTCTTTACAATGTTGGCATCCATTGATTGCTTTCATTTTCTTAAATGATTTGTCTTTGTTTATTAGGTCCTTTTGGGACCGATCATTGGTCTCATTTCCTGATTGAAATCATTTGATATTTTAACCAGATTTCCAAAATTTGCAATTCATTGTTAGAATTTCCTTCTCAGTTCATTAAGTTTCTTCTGCAAGTGAAGCAAAGATCACTCCATTTTATCCATGTAATTTATTACTTGTAGGGCTGACTGTATTTGAACGCCAGAAACGTCAGGAGAAAGCTGTTACGGAGTATAATTACGGAGTGATTGAGTGTGATAGACCACCTATTTGCAAACCGGATTGGGCTTGTTCTACAAACTGGAAAATGGGCAGTGGACCAACAGACACTGTTAATATCGGTGATCGTATTGCTATTGGTAAAGATGGTGAGCAACTTCTTCTATATATTGTAACTAGTCATGAACAACTAACCCCATTTTGTCCAAATTTGATCTTAAGTGTCCTTGGGGGAAGAGGGAACAAATTTTGTATAAACATTGATCTTAGCCACCTGGGGTGGGAGGGATGGGGTCCAAAAGGGGGAAATCGAGCAATTTTTTTAAAATCCTACTCCTCCTGAAGGAATGATTGCATTGTGTCCAAATTTGGTCTGAAGATTTCTTGAATTTGGGTGAAGGGTAAAGTATTTTGTAAAAACAGTGGGTGTGAGCCCTTTGGGTTGGGAGGTTTGTGGCTAAGATATAGAGTAGATTATTTACAGTCTTTCCTCTGCTGTAGGAATGCCTGGATTTTGTCTCAGTTTGGTCTGAGGCATGCTTGGATGGTCAGGGAATGAATTTTGTATAAAAGGTAGATCAAAGCCCCTCAGGGCAAGAGGGGTGGAGCCCAATAGGAGAAATAGAACAAATTCTTTAAATCCTTCTTCTGTTGGAATAATTCTGTTTTGGCAAAATTTGATCTTAAGCATCCTCAGGTGAAAAGAACTACTTACTTTTGTATAAACTGTGCATTTTATACCCATTGGAGTCTTCAAAGGTAAAAAGATACAAGTCTTTTAAATACTTTTCCTCTAGATTTAATGAAGGAGTTTCCACAAACTATACCAGGTTAGTGATACAAGCCCCATGGGATGCTTGTTTAAAATCCTAATTCTCCAATAGAAATAATTGGAATTTGCCCAAATTGGGTCTAAAGCACTGTTGGGTAAAGACAAGTCAGGTTTGTATAAAAGGTTTTACTGATGATCTTGATAAATTGTCTATTTTATCAAAACTTTGGGTCAATATAATGGTTAAAACTTCATAAAAAACAGTGCAGCTTATCTTCCAGTGCGACAAATATGTGGATTGAATCGGAAAAATTGGTAAAAATCCGCTCTATGGCTTATATACCGCTGCTGTTTATAACCCAGAAAACATGGTATATTGCTTTAAATATTGCTTGTTGTTAACAGGTTCACTTCATTTCCTGTATCTCCTAAGAACCGATCAGCTAGATTCAGGAGAAGCTTATGCCTGTGCAACTAGGAATAATGTTATGACCTTCACTGCTGACGGTAGCCCAACTGCACTAAGCATCACCCAAGTAGGTAAGTAATTGTAAAGTTTCTCACTTGTTCTTGTTGTTATACCAAGGGGGACAACTCTCTCACACTTGTATCTGGAGTTTTATGTGATCAAGTGTAATTCAAGCAATAATTTACTGTCAGGACCATTGTTACGGCTTCATTACATATCTAGTTTAAAGGTTACTGTTGTCAGTTTTTGGTTCAAAATCATTATTATGCAACACAAAAATTCAAGTGAAGAGAAGTGGACTAATGCAAGCTCAAGTAAAGATCCAATGTGACTGGTTTTATTATCCTTATTTGGGATGCTTATGATCTTCAGGAATCTAGAGATCATTAGCCTTTCTCTGCTCTCATGGTGTTGTTTGGAGATCCCTGAGCAAGACATTTAATCCCAATTGTTTTGGATAGCACCATACAAAAAATGCCTGAAGTCTTACATGTAACCAAAAATATACAACACCTTATTTCAAAATATTTTCCACAGTTTGAGGTAATGTGTAACTGTACGTCACTATCAGTGGAATATGTAATTCAGGTATGGTTTTAACCAATTTATCTCTACATTTCTTCTAAACAAAATTATGAATTTGATGACCTCAGGGTTCCCAACTTTTCCCTTGGAAAGGGGGAAACGATTACTATTGTTTTTTTAGGAAAATTACATTATGAAGGTAATTTCTTTTTATTCAAACGAGGTTAGGATCATTAACAGGGGTAAAAGTTAAGGCTGTCCATAGTTTACATATGCAGTAATTGTACAATATAGTAATGGTAATCTTACTTTCTTAATATGTCTCTGGCATTTGATACAAGAACAACAACAGCATTTGGAGAACTTGGGTGACCTTTCAGGCCTTTAGGCCTCTTGTTTTTATTTGGCCTCCAGATGGTACAGTCTGACTTTAATTTAATTCAAAGGGTCTGTTCAACACCTGTCACAGTCAAATAATATGTTCAGATAATCAAGAAAAAGAAAAAATATCCATAGTTACAGATACATATGTATATAAATATCATTTTAGTGCCACTTGTTTTAGATTTTGTATTTAATATTGTCGTTGTTTTGAAACTTTGTATTTTCACAGAAAACAAACCATTCCATAGTTTGAAGGGACGAAATTCTTTTGGAGCAACAGGCACAATAGGGAAGTCGGCTACACTTGAGTGCATCTTTTCTGGCTAGTATGTGTTGATGTGGTCATTTTATAATGTATATCACTAAACATTGATAAGCAGTTGAAAAATACCTGAATAAGGAGAGGTTGCCAAAGGCAACAATGAGTAACCACTAGTGACCATATTTTTCTTCTTACAGTCTCACCTATTCTGGGATGAGGGATATGATGTAACCCTTATCGGTCATTCTGTCATTATTTCATTTCTGCTTGTTTATTTTTGAACAGACCTAGAAGATCTATAAGTTTGTATAAAATCTATAACAGTAATATGCATTTCAAGTTCTGATTTGGTTATGGCCAATTTTTGGGCTATTGAGCTTATGCTATCATCTCACGTCCGTCTGGCCAGTGTCAGCTTTTCCATTCAAACAACTTCTTCTGACAAACCAAAGTCAAAGAATTAACATATTTGGCAGGTAGGTTCCTAGAATGAAGCCTGACAAAGTTTGCAAAAAGAAATGACCTTGTGCCTTTTTTCAAGGTCATAGTGGTCAAATTTGTTAAAACCTTAAAACAGCTTTTTTGGGCTAACCAAAAGGGTCAGAATCATACTTGCTTGATTTGCATAATAGGTTTATGAATGAAGCCCGACAGTTTGTTTTGGTTATTTATTGTTTTTGTTCAGGTAAAAAAATCCATTATATTCATGACATGTAAATGTGAATATTACAAATGATTCAAAGTCTTGATGAAGCAAAGTGTTTTTGGCAGTTCCTTGAACTTTGAAACATTGAAGTTTGACTGTATATATGTGAAACAGACACTACAGATTTAAACGTTATGCCATTTCTCTTTCAAAATATTTCAAAGCATTAAATTTTGTTTTTACAGTCCTCTGCCTTATGCCATCAAATGGTACCGTTCTGATACTGAAGTTGTTCCTGGAAATGATGGAAAGTATGTGTTAGAGAACAGCCAAAGGCAGCTTAAGATCAACGACCTGATATCAGAGGATGAAAGTGAATACTCCTGTATAGGCTTCCAGGCAAGCACAAACGACATAATAAAAAGAACAATGAAGGTGTACCTTAACGTGACAGGTAAGCTATAGACTTTGTTCATCAGTCTCAACATAGCAGTTATACGGGTTGTACAGGTTGTTTTTGGGTTCTATTTTCCCTGGTGAATGAGATAAAATCATGTAACACAGATACCTTAGAATTAAGACTGAATTGAAAGGACATCATATGGCCTGTTTCCTGATTTATATGAAAAATACATTCATTTTGATTCAAGTTTTTTTGTCAAAATTTTCACACGTTTGGATATGCTCCCATACAACTTAGTGACATTGATGCCTAAAGTAAAACAAATATTGTACTCACACTTATGTCCTGAAGAGTAGCAAGTTCCGTCAACAATATTTTAGAATGAATACATACTCGTGAACATTCTACATTGATCTAATATTGATATCTGATAAATGTATTTAAAATCATGATGGGCCAATGACAAGCTTGTATCTTTATTAATCAGCATGGGTGCTGTAGTGATCATTTGTTATTCTTTTGGTTCCTGCCAGCCCTCCGTATAAAAATGTAAACAAACCATGGTAGATTTATGGTTAACAGACAACAGTGTACTTCATTTTAAGTTCGGTTGCCTAATTCTGTATAAATTCTCACTTTCACCTGTGCACCTGTGTAAGCAACCAACATACAGACAGTGGAAAATTAATTAACCATTGTCTTTTCAGGACCACCACAGCCGCTTCCAAATCAGATGCAAAATGTTGTGAAACCTGTGGGATCTGATATCAAGTTTTCCTGTAATACCACCTCTCTTCATAATGAGTTACCTCCTGTTGGTCCTATATGGTACTTCAACGGGAAGGAAATCCCAAACGGTAATGTAAAACTAGATTGTTAAAATTATCAAGTTTCTGGTTGACAATATCTTTGTCAAGTTTGGCAGTAAGATCTTCTAACAGACAATTGGAATACTAGTTCAAATTATTCTGACATTCTATCAGCTTTTCGGTCTGGAGTCGATGAACATCAGAACCCATTAGAAAGTAAGGGAAATATGTGACCCATGCATAAGACAGCATTCAAACAATAATTGTAGAAAGAAATTGTCATTTCCACATGCATATCGTACATGGATGAAAATGCACTTTCTGCACCTATGTGAAAAGAAGTAGTGCTATTTGCTATGAGTCCAGTATTATCCTCTGAACATTCCTGTGGAATTTCTGAAATCTAAGCATTTTTTACAGAAAGGTGTATATGGTGTAATTAAACAACATTTTGTCAGCTCATATATACTATTCTGCACCATATGTGATGGAATTAAAAAATTTGGCAATGTGGAGAATATATATACTTGTCACCACAGATTTAGTTTTCATCTGAAATGTTGTATTAAAGCAAGTATTTTTTGTTACATTTGAAATGTATAGACAAGACTTGCGCTGTCAGTCGTCATAAGCGCCAATCATGAAAATGAAAACTCTATGATGATTAAAAAATGTCAAAAGTGCAAATTGCCAAAATACACTGATATTTCTCTGTCCCAATGACAGTGAAAGGCATGTCAAGCCCTGCCCACCCAGACACCTTAGCACTGCCTTTATTATGTAAAGGGGTGTAATCATCTCACTACTTGCTATTGCCTCAGGCATGAGGCTCATGTCAAAGGTACGGGGCTGTGGGGTGCCCAGGTGTTTTGTCTGTACCCTCAGGTGATCACTCCACACACTCTTGTTAATGATCATTATTCTGTAATTACAATTAGGGACCATCCCTTCAAAAACAAACACTTTTTATAGCTGTTAACAATTCATTTATATGAGGGTGGTCTCTGGTTTACTAAAAACGTAAGCAGTCAGACTGCCTTTGTGAAAGAGGAAATACACATATGGTGCATAATAAGGAAAAGGGAAATTGGTATGAAAAATGAGGATTTTCAGCAGAAAGAATGGGAAATATCCTTAAAAAATAAAATAAAAGGCATAGCAGTATCAATGACAATAATAACTTTTTATTTTTTTAGCTGAAAAGAAAATTGAAATAATTATTATTAGGGCTTTTCACTAACTGGTGAAAAGACCTATTGTTTTTGTTATGTTTCTTATTATTCTTATTATTCTTCCAATTTTGTGGGTTCGTAATCTTTTAAATTGTAAAAGCTAGACATACAGTCTAACCTATTTGTGGAGACGTATATGAAGTTGTCGATGCCAATTTTTTAAGTAGGTCAAAAATCCAATATGGCCGCAATGACGTCATAAGTTAAAAACTTAAAAACAGCAATATCTCGAAAACCATTGATTGTACAGAGCTTGTGCATTTATATTATTTGTAGAGAATTTCCTTATCGAAATTTTTGTCATGACATGTTAACAGAAACTTTTTCGAATAAAAAAGCTCGCTGTTGGGTAAAATTTTCAAAATTTAAGAAATTTTTTTCTTTTTTTGAATTTTCTTGAAATTTTCTTCTTCAAATCGATTCAGAATGTCCTTCCGATGAATTTATTGTTTTCAGTTCTTCTGAAACGTTTACCATTTCCGCTGTACACCATTTTGAAAATTTTCTTTGATCTTTTAACAATGCCGACAAATGGGAAAAACTCATTCTAGATCTATATTGATTGGCTATATTTTATCAAATTGTTACTGAGAAGATTTCCCCAGATGTCTTCTACCATTTAGTGACATTTACAAATTCATCAGAAAAACAAAATGGCCGCCATGACGATTTTACCTAAAATGCTGTAACTCAAGAACTGTTTAAGCTAGTGACCTCAGTTTTTATCATATTATGTAAATTAAAAAGAAAACACTTTTCCCAAGAAAAAAACTGGGATCAAAGGTCAACTTCAGGTTTTCGGTAGGGGTCAAAGTTCAAAAGTGTTATTTTCAGTTACAAAGTTCTGCAAAGCCTTGAGTCTTGATATTTCATGTGTAAGATGTCTGTTTAATTATCTATCAAGTTTGTTAATATAAATGACCTTGACCCACTTTCAAGGTCACAGGGGTCAATTATGTAGAAATCATTACATGGTAATTTCTCCATTGTTAAGCTGTCCAAAGTTGAATATTCTGTGGACATTTCCTGTCGATTGATATAAGAGAAACGTACCTCAAAATTCAACTTCCGGTTTGCGGTAGGGGGTCAAAGTTGAAAAGTGCTATTAAGGGTTCCAATCTTTGAAAAACTTCTTCTCAAGTTCTGAAAGGCCTAAAGGCTCTATATTTCACCTATATGAAGCATATGTAACTGGCAACAAAGTTTGATAATATAAATGACCTTTACCCACTTTCAAGGTCACAGAAGTCAATTAACTAAAAATCGTTAAATGACAGTTTCTCATTTTCTAGAAGGCAAAGAATGATGAAAATTAATTATAAACCTTCTGTGGACACTTCCTATTGATTGTCATCAGAAAAACTTTCCCTAAATGTTCAACTTCTGGTTTTCGGTAGGGCACAAATTTGGAAAGAGCTATTTAGGGTACCAATCTTTGAAAAAACTTCTTCTCAAGTACTGGAAGGCCTAGAGGCTTGATATTTCACAAATAAGAAGCATATGTAACCGGCAACAACGTTTGATAATATAAATGACCTTGACCAACTTTCAAGGTCACAGATGTCGTTATATGACAGTTTCTCAATTTCTAGAAGGCATACAATGATGAAAATTAATTATAAACCTTCTGTGGAGACTTCCTAGTGATTGTCATAAGAAAAACTTCCCTCAAAATGTCAACTTCCGGTTTCCGAAAGGGGTCAAAGTTCAAATATACAAAATAGGGTACCAGTGTTCAACAATCTTCTTGTCAAGTTTCACAAGGTCTACAGAACTAATATTGGGGATATATTGATCATCAGATGTTACATTATAAGGCTTGCAAATATGAATAACCTTGACTGACATTCAAGGTCACAGGGGTCAAATATGTTTGAACCTTTAAAAAGTGTATTTCTTCGTTATTATGTAGTTATATCTCCTTAACGATTCAAGATTCAAAGTTCATCTTTGGATATGTTGTAGAGACTAACAAACAAGGAAACTTTCTCATATATTGTTATCAGGATAAATGTCAACTTCCGGTCAACTTGTCGCCAAAGAAGTGAAAAGCCCGAGAAATTGTTAACAACAATTTCTAGTATTCATTTTCTTTTTGTACTTCATTAATCTGAAATAATTCTTACGAGTTATAAAAGTTGTCAATAAATCATTGAACTGTATTTCTATCTGTTCACATTTATGGATTATTTATCAATTTGGTTTTTAGGTCATTTGACCCGTCGTCGTCCGCCGTGCATCTTCTGTAAAATTTTCATTCAAAAAACTTCTTCTCAAATACTAGAAAGCCTAGGGGGCTAATACTTGGCCCATAGCATGCTGGCAAGGAGCCCTACAAAGTTTGTTCAAATTAATGACGTTGACCCACTTTCAAGGTCACAGTGGTCAAATATGTTAAAATATACAAATGACTTCTTCTCAATAAGCAAAAGTCCATGAGTGCTGATATTGGGTCTGTAGGATGCTGGGATGAAGGGCTACCAAGTTTGTTCAAATGAATGACCTCGACCCACTTTCAAGGTCACAGGGGTCAAATATGATGAAATTTTTAAACAACTTCTTCTCAACAACCAAAAGGCTCAGAATGCTGATATTGGGTCTGACGCATGCTGGGATGAAGGGCTACCAAGTTTTGTTCAAATGAATGACCTTGACCCACTTTCAAGGTCACAGGGGTCAAATATGTTAAAATATACGTACAACTTCTTCTCAATAAGCAAAAGTCCATGAGTGCTGATATTGGGCCTGTAGGATGCTTGGAGGAAGTGTTACCAAAGTGAATGACCTTGACCAACTTTCAAGATCACAGTGTTCAAATATGTGGAAATCTGAAAACGACTTCTTCTCAGTAACCAAAAGGCTCAGAGTGCTGATATTGGGCCTGTAGGATGCTGGGAGGAAGGGCTACCAAGTTTATTCAAATGAATAAAGCCCACTGTTTTAACGGCAGACTCACTGTTGTTAGAGTTTGGCTTGCTTTTTGTCAGATGACCGTTAAGGCCCATGGGCTTCTTGTTTTATAAATAATTCTTTAGATAAATTCACTGTTGAGGAAATGTTTCTCATCTTTTATTCTTCTTCTCAAATTTTACATATTATTTTCAAGTTTAAGAAAAGGAAATTCTTTTAAATAAATCTTTACAACTTTAAATGAAGGTGCTATGAAAATGAATTCATAAAAATAACATGTGTTGATTAACTGTGTTAATTACTAATTGTACCCAATTGGTCGGGCTGACAGTCTAAAGAATCAATTGGCAATTGTGTTGTGTGAAACCATAACCAGTTGTCTGAAAATTCAGATTTTGGCAAATCAAATTTTTGAGCCAGAGCTAGTCCAGTATAGATAATGATACAATCTTTATTTGGATCGTTAGTTTCAACGGTAAAGGCTATTTCACTTTCAATTGGAATATGTGTATATTAATGATATATTCATGTTGGGATTTTTTATCCGCAGCTGATATTATGGGTTTCGAAATCAACTTTGAATCTGATGGCGTAGTTCTAGTCATCAAAAATATCCAGAAAAGGTATACTGGCAGTTTCCAGTGCATGTCATACAACAGTGAAGGAACTTTCATGAGGGATGCAATTCTCGTCATTATAGGTAGGTTAATTATATTAAAAAGTGCCTGTTGTTGATCAATGTGGGCCCTTGCTTTGATCACGTGAGGAAAATCGATAAAGTAAAGTCTCTAATCTGTCATGGGTCTCAGATTTGTAGGTATATATAAAAATTCTCTTTTGTTAGTGTGTAAGTACATATGAATACATTTGTATTAAAGTTTCTGTCCTTATCTATCTGTTAGTGGACATATGAGATTAACCACTTCTATCAGAAAATCAAATCCACTAGAAAATTTAGTAGTTTGTGGTGATTTCTTCACAGCAGGGTTTCTGTATCAAAAAATAATTATCTTATACATGGTAATTATTTCAAATAAGCACATTTTCTCATAATTAAGGGGGAAAAAATCTTAAGTGAGGACAGCAAGACTAGTATTACACAAATCAGCAGAAAATTGTTGATCGGTGTGTTTAAAGTCTTCAATACATGAACATAATAGTTATTCATTGATAGAGATTTAGTAAGAAGTCTACATCTATTATGATAGTACTGCTGACTTAATGATTTTCGCTTTTACATGTTTCAATTCACTATTGATATGTCTACAACAAATTCATCAAAAAAATATTTGGATGTTTGTAAATATACAAAGAAGTTTTGATTTAAGCTCAATGAATGATTGTTTGTAGCAGAAAAGTTTTGATTTAAGCTCAATGAATGATCGTTTGTAGATCCCATCACAATTGATTTGTCTCCTCCTGCCACCATGGAGATCTTACCTGAGACGGTACAATACCTGGCAGTGTCAGCCACAACAGATCCGAAGTTCACTCTCAAGTACAGCTGGTCCTTCATCAACTCCAATGGTGACTCATTCTATAACACAAATTCTGGCACCAACTTCCCAGAACAGTTGAAACTTTCCGCAGACAGACAGAATCTAACACTGGATGGCAGCAAACTAGCTAACGGAGATATCTACACAATTGTTGGTTCTTATGCTGTGCGTGTCTTCCATGAGTATGACGAAGTCATTTATACTACAGAAGTAACTACTGATGACAACATTAAAGGTTAGTGTACAAACCATCCCCTGAGTTTTAAACAACTTCTCAATAAGCAATGGACCAAATGTTTTGATATTTGGCTGATAAGTTCCTATGATGAAGCCCAACAAAACTTGCTAAACGGAAGGACCTTGACCTATATTCAAGGTCACAGTGGTCAAATTTATTAAAAGGTCAAGAGGCATGATATTTGACTGGAATGTTCCTATGATGAAGCTCAAATGAGTTTGTGAAATGGAGTTACCTTGACTTATATTCAAGGTCACAGGGGTCAAATTTATTAGAACATTTAAACAACTTATTCTCATGAACTAAAAGACCTAGACACATGATATTTGACTGGTATGTTCCTAGGAAGAAGCCCAACAAAGTTTATGAAAAGAAGTGGCCTTGACTGATATTTAAGGTCACAGGGATCAAATTTGTTAAAAGTATTTAAACAACTTCTTCTTGTGAACTAAAAGGCCTAGAGCTATATTTGGCTGGAATATATATACCAGGTGAGTGCTACAGGCCCATTGGGCCTTGTGTTTATGGTTGTCCTGGGTTGGGCAAGTTCATGGTTTAAAATTTTATGCATGTCTCTGAGCTGATATCTTTATATATAGGCATGATATAAATATTGAAATTAAATCCCTCTGTAGTATTACCTACTACACAATGAGTGGGATAGTAAAATTATATTCCAATGTCTGTTCTGTCTTATCCTGTCCAAATTTGGTGCAATCTTACACACTGTGATATGGTATATTACTGGATGTTTTAACAGATTGCTGCTAATTTTAACTTTATCCATAATTCCTATCAGTTTGAAAGGGTGTTACTAATTCCTACAATCAGTGACATGTCATTCTTTTGTAGCCGCTCCTGTTGAGACAAGTTCTGCCGGAGGTTTCAATCCCATCATCATTGCTATCATCCTTGGAGTAATCGTCCTATTCATTGTTATCTTCCTCATTGTCTGCCTTCTCTACAGAAATAGAGGCGGTACCTACCCACGTAAGTAAAAACACTCAGCTGTACTGCAATCCTTTTATTTTCCAGGATGGAACAACATCATGGGATAGAAATTTTGTAAAATCACAATTCACTATTCCTTGAGAAGTAGGGAGTGGATCTTTTTCAGATTTCGTATGTAGGTTCCCATTTGGCCCTAGTTGTGCCCTTTTGATTTTACGTCCATTGGTTCATCCGTCAACAGATGTGGTTATTGCTATTTCCTGAGCAGTACTCAATAGATCTTTCTCAAAATTCATATGTGGGTTCCCCTTTGTCTCTAGTTGTGCCCGTTTGATTTTGGGACTGATAAAAAAACCAAAATGGCCGACAAACACTTCAGATTTTTGCAGTGAAGTTTGTTAACAATCTTTCTTGAGAAGTACTGGATGGATCTCTCTCAAATTTCATATGTAAAGTCCCCTTGGTCCCTAGTTGTGAGAGTCTGAAACTCTGGGTCTGATCAGAAACAAAATGGCCGACAGGTGGCCATCTTGGATTTTGCCAAGTAAAGTTTGTTATCACTATTTCTTATAAAGTACTCAATGAATATCTCTCAAATTTCTTGTATAGGTTTCCTTTGGTCCCTCCTCGTTGTTTATTTTTAGAGTGATCAGAAAAAAAACAAATTAGTGATTATCTTGGACTTGGCATTTAAAGATTATTATCACTATTTCTGCAAAGGATGAAAGTTTAAATTTCTTAACATTAAGAGCAAAAACAGAGAAGAGAAAAGAAGGGAGAAGATCCAACTTTTAACTTTCAAAGAACAGATAAAGATCAAACAATGGTTGACACCAGGATCCCTTTGAGATCTCTTATAATTACAGTTACAAATTTTGTAGTTTTTCCTTAAATTTTTATTTTTTAAATGTGGACATTTATACTTGTGGATAAGTATTGCTCAATGAATCAACTTATACTACTTTTAACAGTTCATGGACATCTGAATTAAGTGTACTCGCACAAAATTAACACAAATAGAAAGTGGAGTTCTCAGGATTCTGACAAAATATGTAAATTCATTTTGGAAAGGGAGTCAGACCAGCCATTGATACAAAATTGAACCCCTTTCACCCAAGAATTTCATGTGTTCTTCACCTACTATCTATTGAGGAAAATGCCATACATTTGGTGTTGGGGTCATAGGAAACTTGGGTTTTCTGTCTTACTTACCTTGTCTCTCACAGTACTTCGAACAATCAAGAGGTTATCTTCCTTGTCCTCCATTAGCAAATGTATTGAGCATTAAGCATATTATAAGCTCACCTGGCCCAAAAGGTATGATTAATTAAATCCATGAGAATGTTATTTTTATTTCAATCTTAATATCATCCTGTAAAAGATTGCAAATGACAGTTCTTGACAATCTGTTTCAGTTCAGCTCCCCACCCCCCTCGTTATTTGGATCAGAGGGGTGCGGCCAGATAGTGGACACAGAGAAAATTCTTTAAAATCTTTATTATGTTGAAAACTTAGTGATTTTCAAACATCTGCATCTAACCCCCTTTTAAAGGAGGGTTGAGTCTGTTATAGGGAATTAGATACAAGTGTCTTAAATACTTTTCACTTAGTTAAAATAAATCAATTTCAGTCCTATGGGCCTCTTGTTTCACCTTGTGAGCAACTTCATGTATGTTAATATCTTAACATTTTCAGTGGATAAGAAAGAGTTGGCTGCTGGACATGACCCAGAGAAGGAGTTGGCCGACAGTGGTTTCCATGACCTCTCCAGAGCGTAAGTTTAGGCAACGTTGGATTTTTGACTCATTACAAGCACAATTGAACTTGAGGCTAGAAATTATACTAGGCAACCTTTTCCAGTTGAAGTTCTCATTTGATCAGATGTCGTGAGTTTTGTTGGATTCATTAGTTTCAGTGTACATTGATTATATCATATTCAGAAAATTATTAATTAATTCAGTTAATGAAAATTATTTTCAACTGATCTCTCAGGAGTGTTGGTTTTGATTTTAACACATGCCACTTTATGGTGTGGCATATCTGATGTCTATCTGTCCATCTCATCGATGTTATGTCCTATATGTTTTTACCTTTTGGACCCGATTTAGTTGATATTTACAGCATTATACATGGGGGTGTGGCTATTTATATCTTAGATATTAGTTGGCAAAGCATGTTTTGAGATACGTGCATCTTTGGGTCTTTTCGTTTATGTGGACAAACCGGTTTATTGGCATATTAAATGTAATATTTCAGGCACAAATTGGGCCAGAAAGACATGAATGGCTCTGTTGAAGCTTGTCAGAATACAAAATACAATCAGTAAATTCAACCCAACTGGTCAAACAGACAAAGGAAAGTGTCCCCGTTACATTAAGACAAACCCACTGGTCAAACAGACAAAGGAAAGTGTCCCCGTTACATTAACGCAAACCCACTGGTCAAACAGACAAAGGAAAGTGTCCCCGTTACATTAAGACAAACCCACTGGTCAAACAGACAAAGGAAAGGGTCCCCGTTACATTAAGGCAAACCCACTGGTCAAACAGACAAAGGAAAGGGTCCCCGTTACATTAAGGCAAACCCACTGGTCAAACAGACAAAGGAAAGGGTCCCCGTTACATTAAGGCAAACCCACTGGTCAAACAGACAAAGGAAAGGGTCCCCGTTACATTAAGGCAAACCCACTGGTCAAACAGACAAAGGAAAGGGTCCCCGTTACATTAAGGCAAACCCACTGGTCAAACAGACAAAGGAAAGGGTCCCCGTTACATTAAGACAAACCCACTGGTCAAACAGACAAAGGAAAGTGTCCCCGTTACATTAAGACAAACCCACTGGTCAAACAGACAAAGGAAAGGGTCCCCGTTACATTAAGACAAACCCACTGGTCAAACAGACAAAGGAAAGTGTCCCCGTTACATTAAGGCAAACCCACTGGTCAAACAGACAAAGGAAAGGGTCCCCGTTACATTAACGCAAACCCACTGGTCAAACAGACAAAGGAAAGTGTCCCCGTTACATTAAGACAAACCCACTGGTCAAACAGACAAAGGAAAGGGTCCCCGTTACATTAAGACAAACCCACTGGTCAAACAGACAAAGGAAAGGGTCCCCGTTACATTAACGCAAACCCACTGGTCAAACAGACAAAGGAAAGGGTCCCCATTACATTAAGACAAACCCACTGGTCAAACAGACAAAGGAAAGGGTCCCCGTTACATTAAGACAAACCAACTGGTCAAACAGACAAAGGAAAGGGTCCCCGTTACATTAACGCAAACCCACTGGTCAAACAGACAAAGGAAAGGGTCCCCGTTACATTAAGGCAAACCCACTGGTCAAACAGACAAAGGAAAGGGTTCCCGTTACATTAAGGCAAACCCACTGGTCAAACAGACAAAGGAAAGGGTCCCCGTTACATTAAGACAAACCCACTGGTCAAACAGACAAAGTAAAGCATCCTTGACCTTGTTACATACATGAGCTAGTTGAACATGCATTATATTCTTTGTTTACAGGGATGGTTTTGATGATGTGAAGCCTATAAACGATAGAATGTCCCTTAACGACAGTGATAAGGACTACGATAGTGACGATGACCTGGACCAGGAATACGGCATGGACTTTGATACATCAAAGTTCAACGAGGACGGCTCTTTCATCGGCCAGTACACAGATAGTAAACGCCATCCTACTAACCAGTCAGTTGTTTAAGAGAGGACACTGAATAGGGAATCCTACCTATGTTTACATACCTGACATTTTGCCTATTTGGAGAAGAATTGGACAAGTATAATGGCAATTTTTACTAGGTCTTTGGAAAAAAAGATGTTAGGAAGAGTCATCTCCAGTCATCGCACTGATCTGAACATATCTTAGAAGATGTTAACTGGTGCAAGACAGATTTATTTTTCTAAACAGAATAACATTTTGAGTTTCAACGATAATGTGTTCATTTCTTTCTGTAGTCACGTCGATCTAGGCCTGTAGTCAGTAATTGTACCAGACATATTGTTTAAGCTAGAATTCTTAATTTGCTCACTTTACATTGCTTGATTGATGGAAAAATTCTACCTAAAATGTTTTATGATTTTTAGGTCATCTGACCGAAGGGTCTGATGACCTATTGGGATCGCCTTTTGTCCAGCGTCGTCCGTAGTAAACACTTTTCTACTTCTTCTCAAGTTTTACATGTTTCATTGAGCTGAAACTTACCTGAAATGATCATGACATGATCCTGACCAAAGTCTGTTAATTTCGGGTTGGTCCGAAATCCAACATGGCCGCCATCTTGAAAACACAATTTCAACTTCTTCTCAAGTTCAAAATTTGAAATCTTGTATTTTATGTCAGACCCATGGGCCTCTTGTTATAATATTATTGTACAATAAGTTAATAAAGGATGGTAGGGGATTTTTACAAAATGAGTTTAAAGAATAAATACAAGTCCAAGATGGGACTTTTTGTCTGTTGATGTTTTGTATAAAATCTCATTTCCAAATTTAGAATTTGGTGGTTAAAAACAGACCAGGTTAAATGAAGTACCTTTTGTGATTCAATAAATATGATACTAAAAAAGACATCATTCCAAGATTTTAGTACAAACATTCCAAACTTAATATATCAATATATAATCAACGAAGTAAGGGTGATTTGGATTACTTTTTTGGGGCGGGGTGGGGGGGAGATATTATTATTAGCATAGTGTTGATAAAGCTAGATTTTATTTTTTTTCTTTATATTTTATTAACATGCAAAAATAAGTAAAAGAGCATGAACATACAAAGAAGCATTCCAATGTGTAAGTAATGTTCTGACTGTTGAATTATCTTATTGCTCTGTGTAACCATGCCAATGTTACGAGTACATTCCACACAAAATATATCATTTCATGTGAGGACTACAATATTCCTATCCTTATTACTTACCTGGAAAAAAATAATATTGATGTTGAGAGACAAATCAAAATTCTTTTCTTGTGGTACCTTTCATTTTTTGTTGGGAAAAAAGTGTGCAAGTGATTTTAGAAATGTTCATAAAGTTTTCTTTGTCAAAGCATGAATACCTGGATTTACAGGTGTTTTTGCTTTTTTAACCAAATGTGAATGTTTCTTTAGTGTTATATGTTTTTTTCGTCCTTGTTTATGGTGTCGAGTCCTTTAGTAATATTGGCCAAGTTGTATCATTCTCAGGTTTCATTTTTACACAACTGAATTACTTTACAAATTAGATCAAGATGATTTTTTCACATTACATCTTCATCTATCTATTAAAAAAATTTACTGTATTTTCGGGGCTATAAGTATATAGGACGCAGAGCCAATTTTTTTTTGGTTTTTTTAATTATTCAGTATACATATTATCCACAACAAAACTCACACCCTTTTCTGATGAAATGATACGGTAACCGCAGTATTGACCAAAGTTTGTTGATATAACGGACAACAGAAGGCAATTTATCCAGATTGTGAGTGGAAAATTTAATAAAGTTTGAGGGAAAATGCATGTGATTTCATTAATAATGTATAAGTGTAGTATTTAATGAAGATAGTCTAAAAAAATTTCAAAATACTACACAAATATCAGATAGTGATTGATTTTATTTTCTATAGTGATAAAAGTCAACGGTTTGGTCGACACGTTGATTGATACTTAATGGTTTGATAAAATTCCCTGAAAATCGGCTTTTTATCCACTTTGGCTTACAAGGTTTAGTCTTACAGATGTTGAATCTCGACATTGAATCCTTTTTGTGCCACAAAATGTGTAAATTAATCGATAGGATGTGTGACAAATGTCTCTGAACGATTTTGAGAGTGATAACTTGCATGAGATCAAAGCATTTGTCATGTTTTTTCTAAAGCTATTAAGGCATGAATTAGGTAGGAGATTCATATTGTAGTTCTATATCAAACATTTTTTAATTTGAGATTAACAAGTGTGGCTGGAATATTAATTAACAAGTGTGGCTGGAATATTAATTAACGAGTGTGGCTGGAATAAAAAAATCAACTCCAAATACTGTACCGAAAATAGACCGAAGATGTGGGATCTAAACGTTATATCTGAATATTCAAAGGTGCCATATGCTTTATAGTATGATAAAGGACATAAGTTTTTTTAGATAGTAATAGTGCCAGCCTTAGCAGAAACAAGCACAACACTGTACATAAACTGACATGATTGTATTAATTACTACTTTTGAACGAGTATTTTATTTTTCGTTAAAATTTGGTGATTTTAATTATGGCAGAATTATGATTTTTTTTATAAGTTTTGATTCTAGTGACAACAACCAAAGCACACCACCAAAATACCTGAGCTGAAATTGAAGCTTCAATTTCATATACTCATATTGTTTATATCTTATTTCCAACTTTTGAAGTCATTCAAAGTCTGTTGTCACATGATCACAAATTTTATGTCACATGATCACAAGGTTGATATTCACTCCTGTGGGTTGTAATTGCACAATTATCAATGGCATAGTTAAAGCTTATATACTTTCTTGTGTAGATATATTGTATGATCACTCTGTAGTGTATTATTCAAATCTCATTTTCGGTGAAAAATTGTTTGTCAAAGCACAGACTTGTACAATTGAAATTTGACATGGACAGTATTTTTTCCATGGTATGGTGATCTGTTAACATGTAAATGGATGTAGTGACCATCAACCGAAAATGATTTCTCGAAATGTATGCTCTGTAACTGTGTTTATTTTTCTTTGCATTTGATTATATATATATTTTAGTAATATGTGAAGTTAATGCTAGATTTACCTTGTAAGGAAATAAGATCAGTCCAGTATTATACATAGGACACCATTCCTGTGCAATCGTTTGTTAAATTGTTATATTTTTATACAAACATGGGTTCCGCAGGTCTAGGTGTTTTTACAGCAGCCTCTGGTTGTCTGACATTAGTGCCCTAATCAGTGAGTTTTGCTGATTTGCTAGGTCGGTCACATGACCAGAGGACTCAGGTTGCTATGCCAATAGTACCCACTAGTTGTCAGAGTAACAGTTATTGAACGCCATGACATGCCATGTTTTCTTGACATCTGTGACAAAATCCAGTTACATCAACAGTGGGGTGGACAGTCTCCTTAAATCTATTGTCTGTTATTCAGACAGTGTAATTTCAAGTCAATCAGAGGGATTTGTTCACATATATCAGAGGAAACATGGCTTTCTGTTGTTTAGCAACAAGAGTTACCTTAGCAACTGGTTGCCAGGTCAGTCATAGCAACTTGGGTTATGCAGGCCCAGGGCCAGGAACTTTTTTTGTTGACATTTTGTAATATTTTGTATTTCTGTCGATGAGTAGACATAATATAGATGTTTATATAGTGATGAGATGAGATTCTTCGACCTGCCCTTCATACTTAAACTTGATGGTAAGTGCTGAGAAAGATGTCACACCATACTTCCAATGACGTCCTAAAAATTTGGTTTTATTAAAAATATTTTTTGTTCTGTTTTTATTTTGCCTGACCGAAAATGTTTTTGAATTGCATTCAACATAATTCAAGCGAAATTAATAAGAATATTGAATAAGCATTTTTAAAATGTATTATTTGCACTTTCCATGGAAATATTGCAAAATTGGTGGGAGATCACATTCATATGTCAAATTGTGGTACATGGACGGCACAGAGGTAACTTGCACCTGTATACCTTGTTTTGAGAGTAGTACATTTATCTACACTTCTAGAAAAAGAGACAACTTCTGGTTAATTATACTCTATATCTATCTAAATAATATTTGTGATTTCAAATAAATTTGTGATACAGACTAATTAATTTCTGTGCATTTCATGTTTCCATGGTAACAGTCCACCCCCTGACTGTATGGCTGTGGTCCCCACAGGAGTGGTGATTGTCCAGAAGGGCATGGTGTTTTCATTCCTCATACACTTCTAACTAATAAAGGCTTTGATATCAATAACTTGTCTCTTTTTGTCTTTCTACTGACAGTGTGAATTGAAGGGCAGTAACAGATTGAACCTCTGTTGAAGAGCATTACTTTTCATGGGAAATTATCAGTATCGCCAACCTTTAGCAGTCTATTATCTGGTCATAGTCCAAAAAGTGATGGATGCATTAAACGGTCATCAAGGGAAAAAACCTTATAATCATTTACATTGTACAATTATCAGCCGCTTAGGAATGAACAAGCTTTAATCATATTTTAGTCACAAGTGTGAAATGTGTCAGAATTGACTTGTGGCCTCAGAACATGACAAATTGTTAACCAGATGACCATGATTGTGGAAGTTAAATACATGTGACATGTTTAAAAACATTTCTTCTATATCTCGAAAAATTTTGGAAATGATATACAAGCTTACAATCAATGACTACTGAAATGTTATTGAGGGTGGTAGAACTGTGCAGGTAAGTACTTAGCTAGATCAATATGTTATTATGATGTTTGCCTTCTAAACTTTGGAGTTAAGAGACAGTGCAATAATCAATCGATAACAGCATTCATTAATAAAGATATATGTTGCTATAAAGAGACAGTTCAATAATTAATTGATAATTAACACGAAGATCCCCAAAAGGTAAAAAAAATTGTTTAACAGACCTCATTGCCTTTGTCCAGATAAATATGCGTTCACAACAGAATGTAGTATTTAGTAGGGTCAAGCCATGTAAATGTCGATTCTGTAGACTTGTTACCATTTCCTTGGCTTTTTAACATTACTGAGCAGTGGTTAAATTTTAGTATCAAATGCACATATTCTATATGTGCTGGTTTAATTAATTTTATGAATGTTGATGAGATATTGATGCAAGGCATGCTTGATACTTATGATAAATGATTTGAACAATTGCAACAATTTTGATAAGTAGAAAAATCTAATGAATCAGAAATCAATTAAATGTGCTATGAATCTAAGGAAAGATTAAGATATTTTCTGACTTGTACAAAAGTGAAGACTACAGCCACGTCGCACACACTTCATCCTCGGTACTCCAGAGGTTATGCTCACTATCACTCTCTTCACCCTTGGAACATTTCATGGCAAAATTGAAGATTCTATATGTGACTCTTGTGGATAAGACGAGACTAGCTTAATACAAGCTCATACATATTCCTGTTTTGTAAATCATATTCTTCATCCAGCAGGATCTGTCTCCAACAGATTTAGATTAGCATGCAACAAAGTCCTCCAGATGTGCTTCTGATCAACTGTCAGAAGTCTTGGTACCCAACTAGCTAAAAACTTTCTCATTGCAAGATCTGAAGTAAGAATGGATTGCATCCTTTCATGTAAAATCCCCACTGTATTGGCTATATATCTCTCTGTAATTCACAACAGTAACAGGCCTTCCAGGACGGGCGTCATCCACAAGGCTCTGTCTGCCACGCTTAGATTCCAGCACCCACCTTTTCAGTAACAGATGAAAGGGCACCATTCCCTAGTGTTGTTACCATATCAGTATGGATATCCTTAGGGGCTAGGCTTTTCTCATGCAAATATTGAATCACTGCTCTTTCGGCGATTTTGTCCATCTTGCAAAATTTAAGAGTGCCACCTACTTGACATAAACTGACCAAATGACACCAGTCTTCGCATACACAGCCTTAAATACCTGGTAGTCAGGGAATATCAGCGCTGAAAAAGGACATTCCTGCTTAACTTCCAAAATTCTAAGACTCACAACTTGCCAATCGGCCATCGTAAGTTGGATATAGGCGGTATAAAAGTGGTGAACCAAACTTTGAGTTTTTCACTCACGGCGTTCCGATAACTTATTGCTCAATTTGAAATTCAATACGATTAAACATTGTACTTCAGTTACCATTTAAATTTTATCCTTTCATAATTACCAAGTCTATAAATGCAGTAGATTTTTTTTCAGCTCTTGCGAAGGGTCGTTTGATAACTTTTGAGAAAATGTTTGTATGTTAAGTTCTTTCCTTAATAAGGGCAATCGTTAAACAAATGTATTCCATATTTTCCCCATGCGATTTTTTACGTTGTGTGATATTTTGCAGAGCCAGTTTTATCGATTTTTCACCTTCAAGCGTTGGCAGTTTCGAACTTTTAAATATAGCGTCCTTTTTTAAGACTTCACTATTTAGAAACGAAATTTGACAATTTCACGCATGCTCAAATACCTGGTACACCTTAAACCTCTGGTTGCTGGCTCATGATACAGTATCGTCCCATCTTGATCGACAGCGACATGCATCATGAAGTCACATGGAACTTCCCCAGAAACCATAACGCCGTCTCAATATTTTTTTTGTTTGTCTCCTAGGCTACCGTTAGAGACCCGAAGCAAAATTAATTCCAACAAATTACGGAAAAAAAGGAAAATAGACATTGCTTGACGGTGATATGCCTTTTATATAATATTGGAGACCAACTTGGCATTAGATAAAAACGTAATGATAGATACAGTTTACTTATTGTGACTATTTCTGTTACCACCTGACGCCAGGTGCGATGATGAATTTCTTGAAAGATCAAGAGATTCACATGAAACAAATTTCAGTGTTATTAATATTAAATATATGCTAGCTCTTAGCATAGTCGTTATTATAAATCATATTCTTAAGAAAATGACAACCAAAATAGCATCATTAATACATATCACTAAATGAGAAGTTTGAATAACTAACATGCATCAGGATGTTTACAAATGTAAATGGTATTTACAAGTTTAAAACATATTTTGTTGTCGTTAAGCAAAAGGATTGGGCACAACTGAGTTACAATAAAGTTATTAACACTCTTTCCTTTAGAAGAAAAACATTTGCATAAATACATTTCAAGATGGCTCAAAATAATTATATACATATCATTTTTAATTAAGAGAGAGAGACTTACTCGAAGTTCATGGCTGAATAAATATATTCTTACAAAATACATTATATATATATACTCCTTACACTATATCATGTATCTGCAAGTTGGACAACTGGCGGTATAAAATCATGTCAAAGAAACGTATAGGGATTTCTTATATCACCATATTATTTATTTAGTTATTTATTTATTTTCATTTAAAAAGAAAATGAGGTATTCACTAGGCATCAGGATTATGCAAAAAGATGAATCCAATTTAGTTTATATGTTCACTGGGTAATTTTGTCCGCTCTCCGGTAAAACATCAACAAATTATCGTACATACTTGACGGTAATCCACGAGCGACAAGTTAGTAACTACCAAGGATAGCACTGTGAACACGTTCACGTATGAAGACCGTGAAATATTACAGGCACGAGTCATATCAAGGAGAAATGGGATTATAGTTTATCTAATGATCGTCGAGAAAATCTTTCGAAAAATACCAGATCTTGATTCCCAGTATAGTATTGTGAATAGCCATTGTCAGTGCCGTTACTGATAGTTTGAGATTCAATGCATAAATGACGTCTCCATGTGTTGGATATCGGAGGATAAAAGCTGTGAAACAAAATCCCGAATCGTAGGAAATACTCTCTTAAATTTCTTTTTAAAAAAATCGTCTATGTTTAGATAAATTATTGCACAGCGAAATTGTATATATTTACGACCAATTACTTTGCTGATTCGGTTAAATCTTCAACATTATATCAATGAACAGAGTTAATTAAGTTTCTATCCCCCAGATAAATGTACTTTAAGTAATAAAGTTAACCGATAAAAGTAAGTATATATGACTGACGTTCAATATTTACAAGTATATGGATTGGAGTGAGCAAAATGAAATAGGGCTACTTAAGTGTTATTGGAAATATATCTTATTTTAAAATGTGGTTTATTTATTTGCCTTTTTCTTGTCAAAGGGAAGTAACCTTTTGACTGGAATTCAGAATATGGATCAATATTTTGGTGATAGCATGAACTTAAAAGTTAATGTCTATGCATAATTGAAAAACATTTTTTGGATAAGAATGAAATTATATTGAGTAGCATTTGTATGTGCAGTTGATAATTCTGAAACCGATTTCGTCATCTGTCGTGTTTGGGCATAAGCTTATATCACTTCGGATATTACGCACGTGTTCCTTGTGCGGAGGAATATAACTACTTTTTTGGTGACGTCATTTCAAACAAATATGTGAAAGGAATGTAAAGTTATCTTCGGTTATCGCAAGGATCATAGTGATAGTCGTTATCATTTTATCTTAGTGTATATATATTAACCTTAAAATTTTCAATATTTCACTAAGATATCATGTAAAAATACAAAACATGGAACTATTTTTTTTCTCGCAGACTTATCCTGTTCAGATTGTATATAAAGGTTCAGTGGCTCCCTCTACCATCCCTCTTCTCAAATCGTGAAGTCGGTGATAGGTTTGTGTGAGGACTTTATCCGAAGCACAACACCGAAAACTGTATATTTTAAGTTTAATACCCAATTGAAAAAACACAAAAAAATCTGAAAAACTTAAAAACTACAAAAAAATCGTGGAACGGTAGGTTTTTGTTGTAAGAATATTCCGTTTTCAGCACTTTGAGATCAGCAACAGTTGGTGGACGCCATTTTAGTCGTTAAAACATCACAGGAGGTAAAAGATTGAACACTTGTAGAACGTCTTAGACAAGTCAGCGAAGATGGCAATGAATCCAGCAGGTCCAAGCTACCCAATGGCGTCCCTTTATGTGGGTGATCTTCAAGCAGACATCACTGAAGCTATGTTATTCGAGAAATTCTCGACGGCAGGACCAGTATTGAGCATTCGTGTTTGTCGAGACATGATAACCAGACGATCGCTTGGTTATGCATACGTTAACTTTCAACAACCAGCAGATGGTAAGAATCATGAATGAAAAACAAATATTGATTTTAAGGAAAGTAACTTCTTGATCTTGAAAATATACAACTTTATTCCGTGAGAATATGCCTTGGGCGAAACTGACACATCATCACATGATATGCAGTTCCAATAAATTTGTTGGGTGGCACTTTATATTTGTCAATTGATTTGAGTCTGATTACATATTTTTGAAAGTGGGGTAGATATATATAACATTGATGATTTTTTTTATCCTCATTTTATTTTTTTCAGGAACATCGTGATTTTTTAAGTTACAATTAATGTCTTCATTTTATTGCAAGCCTAGTGATTTATTAACATTTCACATGAATTTTATTCTTCAATATTATTAACAAATACCTATGATTTTGGGGTAGCAGATATTTGAATATTGGACGGGTAATTCTACTGTAGAGCTTCACTCAAATTTTAAGGACCCACCACATCTCTTCTTCCTGGTCTTGGATTTTCAATATTGATTTCCTTAAACATGGATTGTGTACACTCGGAATGTTATGAGATCCACACTATCTTTCAATACTAATAGATATGGGATGGATGATATCTTCATAAAGTTTTATATTCAGCAATTGATAAAAATGTAGCAGATTGTATGTAGATAATATGTAATTTACTGATGTGCTCCCCATTTTATTTGGGTTACTGGAGAAAATGGTAAATAAGATAGCAATGTTTCAAACCCACAACAATGCTGAATGGTCTAGATATTTTATACAAAGACAAAAATATGACGCCTACATCCTTCCCATAGACATCCTGAAGACACAAAGTTTATGTGCTCAAATTTGGTAACCACAGAAGAAGGGGATCAGGAATGGGAAATGGATGATAGAGATTTAGAATTTTTGGAATTCACAAAGAACTAATTATTTTGTTTTACATTATATGCTACATCAAATTATTTTTTATCTGAATGTAACTTATCCAGGAAATATGTTGAGACACCTTTCTTTTACCATTTTGGTCCACTGCTTGGCCCTGCTAAAACTCTATGAAGCTATTTTTCCATCAGACTGGTAGTACTCTTCCATAAAAGAAATTTACTAGTATGAAAGTTTTACAGTAGAAATTTTCAAAGCCTTTCATAGATGCTTACACCATCTGCATCAGTCAGGTTCAGTTGTGAATCAGCCACAAGATATCTGGAGAGCTGCTTAAACTGTCACCTCCAACAAATATTCATAGTTGGTACCTACTTGGCTATTTTACATGCTTCAATTTTATGATTGTACACATCTTTCAAAATGAAAACATAATGACCAATAGAAGTAGTCCGTTTTGATTTTATTAGTACATTTGTTAACATGAGAAAAAAATCATATGTGTCTGACAGGCTAGTTGCCAATAAAAATTGCTCATCTGTCTGCAAAATTCACTTGTCCTGAGGAGAGAATGGGTGCTTTTGCCAGACCTTGTACTGATATTAAAAGAAGCCAATTCTGTTCATGTACAGTATTTACACATAAAATAGTATTAACTATTCAAAATCCTGATTGGGGATCACAGTGCTTGCTTAAAAAGAGTTGATGACAAAAAGAAATGGTTGGTTGTCTTATAATTGTACTAACTTGGATACCTTGTAAATGACCAGCATAGTAATTAATGGAGTTTGAATGAAAATTTATCAACAATTCTGTTAATTTGGATTTCAGCTGAGAGAGCACTTGACACCATGAACTTTGACACCATCAAGGGTAGACCAATCAGAATCATGTGGTCCCAGAGAGATCCCTCCTTAAGAAAATCAGGTGTTGGCAATGTATTCATCAAGAATCTGGACAAAAGTATTGACAACAAAGCTCTGTATGATACTTTCTCTGCCTTTGGAAACATCTTGTCTTGTAAGGTAACTAGAACACAAATCAAAATAATCTCAAAGCTTTCTCTATCGAGTTCTCATTGATGTGTATACAAATTAAAACTATGTATACAGCGAAAAAGGGAACCATTGATTTCATTTCAATTTAGGAGAAAATTCCTTTTTGGGGGGGAAAATGAACAAAAAATTCTTTCTAATCAGTAGTACATATTGTTAACATTACGTCTTGCAGATAGTGACGGATGAAAATGGTTCCCGTGGTTATGGATTTGTACATTTTGAGACCGAGGAAGCAGCCAGAAATGCTATTGACAAAGTGAATGGCATGTTGCTCAATGGCAAGAAAGTGTAAGTGAAGCTAATCATATTGCAGAACTTTTCCCATCCTCTTTGGTGGTTTTAACTCGAGGAAGCCATGGAATTGATAATGAACACATTTTACTTAAAATGTTTATAAGAGGCCTTAGGGAAGAATTTTTTAAAATGTTTGGTGACAGAAGACCTGTATTAGTTGTAACAAATTTGGAAAGCAAAATATTAAAGAGTTGCAAAATGTATTCCACAATAGTCTAATAAACAGAAGATATATTGTGCATGGTTTCTGGTTCAATTTTTAAAATGATCATTTTGATGTGAATTTATACTGAGAAATAGAACAGATTTGTAGGGGGGTTGCTAGACAGAGGAGGGAAATTTTTAATAATGTTTTTACCAGTCTTAACTAATAACCTGTAAAACTTGTGGTTCATTTCCCTAGGATGGCAGAGGTAAAGATCATATTCATTTCATGAAGTGGTGTGTTCTTTTTGTACCATTTGATATCTGGCTGCTTTTTTGATATTTTATGAAATGTTTCCCTGTCTTCAGATTTGTGGGAAAATTTATGAACCGTCGTGAGCGACTGGAGCAACTTGGTGACAAGATGAAGCGATTCAACAATGTTTATGTCAAGAATTTTGGAGATGAACTTGATGATGATAAGCTGCGTGATATGTTTGAGCCATATGGAAAGATCATAAGTGCAAAGGTGAGGAATGCATTACTGTATTTTCTGGGTTATAAGCTGCAACTTATTATATATTGTTACTGCTTATATATAAAAAAAAATCGCGAGGATGAACAAAAATGTAGCATGCTGGTACCACATTTTTTATGAGTACCTGCCAACCTGGTGTTTGTGTTTGTCAATCGTTATACATGATGATTTGAAAATTGCCATAAAAACCTGCCTTTTGATATAAATCCCTATAATCTTTTCTTGATTTATGGTTACTTCTCTGCTATTGCGAGAAGGTGGAAGTTTACAATAGAATATTTCACCCTGGTATTAATAGGTCATCAAGTGATATATCAAATTCTATAATGGCTGCGATGCATGTTAATGATTTGAATTACTTTGATGCAGCTTAAAAGAAATACAAGTTTCACAGACATTCATGGTAAACTGCCTTTCATTGTCTGTCATATCATCAACATTAGGTCAATAGTACCATATAGTAAGGAAAGGACACAGCCAATATTGTGGCTAATATGTGTATCAAATAAAAGAAAAAGTAAAAATTGACTGCTGTCTTTATACTGGTACAACTTATAACCCATAAAACAAAATAGAAGTGATTCCAATGTCGTGTAGAGTGTATATGACAAGGACTAGGAGTAATTGTTTTATTAAAAATGTTACAGATTTCTATAGGCTGACTGTTTGTCATTTCAAAAATGTTAGCTTCTGAGGGTCTTTTATGTGGGCCCCCACCTGGTCAATGTTATGTCCATAACCAGTGTAAGTTGTTAAAGTGTGGAGTTGACTTTGGTGACTTGTAAGGGAACTAATGAAGAAAACACAGTATTGCCTATTTGAGGGTAGAATAATCACTTAGTATGAGGAAGTGCCTTGACTGCTTACTCACTGTTTGTGATGTGTTTCAGGTGATGAGTGAGGAAGGTCCTAACATGAAGCCAAGGGGATTCGGCTTCGTCAGTTATGAGGATCCAGAGTCTGCTGAGAAGGTAAAAAGTGTATTATGTGAATCTGTTGTGACATAGATAGTTGTACTTATTTAACTTTGCAATCAGTTGTCCGTTATGTTATTAATATTTACAACAAGAATAACAAATACAGAAAATAATCTTGAAAAATTTTATTAAGGTAATCATAAACAACACAACTTCAATTTCAGAAGTTTAACATCATCATGACTTACTTGAAGGGAAGTAGTTGTCTTGTGTCAAACTGAAATTCCTGTATCAACTTTATAATTATTTACCATTCACAGGCTGTTGAAGAACTAAATGGCTTGGACATCAATGGTAAGACACTGTATGCAGGTCGTGCCCAGAAAAAGGCAGAAAGACAGGCTGAACTCAAAGATAAGTTTGAGAAAATCCGTATGGAAAGAATCAATCGATACCAGGGTGTCAACCTCTATGTCAAGAACTTGGATGACAACATTGATGATGAGCGTCTTCGCAAGGAGTTTTCACAGTTTGGTACCATCACAAGTGCCAGGGTGAGTTAAAAAAGATTGAATGATCAGTAACAGTTGGTGCACTGTAAAAACAGAATTATTAATGCATACTTTGTTTCCCAATATACAATTGACAATATAGTGAAGTTTGTTTCCCGATATATTTAAGAAAATTAACTAAGTAAAGTTCAAGGCAAAGAACGATTCTTTAATTGTAATTCAAATTACTTCAATCTTGGTATGGGAATAACTATTGGACTGGAAAAAGTGATTTCACCCATACACCCTGGAGTTTACCATATATGGTTGGTTAACTGCCTTCCTTAAATGGGAAAGATAATGTTGTATCTCCATGTCTGGGCTGGTTCAAGATGTAGCTTTGCCCCTATGGGGATGCTCCACACTGTTGAATCACAGTTGTGTTTATATTGTCACACTGTCAGAGGAAAAAAAGATTTCCTGATTAAAGTTTTTGAGGTTACTCTTTCATCTGAGAAGAAATCTTCAGGCCAAGATTTCTAAAGACTGCCGAATATCTGGTGTTGGTAAGTGTTATAGTATGTGGTTCACAGAAGTGCTGTAGCTGAAGCTGACATGATTATGTGTCGCTGTCAGATACACTGTTGTTGTGTTTATTTCTTTGTCTATGTGTGTTAATTCTAAGTAGGATAATGTTTTTGAAAACATTTATTGTAATGCTGCCATGCAAGTTTATGTCATTGATAGTAGAAATGACATATTTAAGACCTACACTAGAACATGAACGGTGGAAGTGAAATATGTTAAATAATACAAGTATTTTGAATTAGATTACACATAACAAATTGTACAGTGTGTTTTAGATAAAGTCGTAGTACATAATAAATGATTTTTCATATCACTACTGTTTCAATTTGTAGGTGATGTCAGAACAAGGCCGCACCAAGGGCTTCGGCTTTGTGTGTTTTAGCTCTCCAGAAGAAGCCACCAAGGCAGTAACAGAAATGAATGGACGTATTGTGGTGGCTAAGCCTCTTTATGTGGCTCTCGCCCAGCGAAAGGAGGACAGGAAGGCCCATCTGGCGTCCCAGTATATGCAGCGCATTGCAAGCATGAGGATGCAGGTATATTATTCTTGACCACAAACTTTGATCAGCAATTATTTGATTATACAATTAGTAAAGTGTTACATAGCTCAAGTAGGAAAATCATATGTAATATATTTGCAAGTTCCAGCAAGCTAAGGTGTTTGTGACTTTGAGCTTTCCTTGAGACTTGCTATAAAAATTTGTGGAAGAAAAGTTTGAACTTTCTCTTCTTTTTGAAGATTTTGTTTAGGACCTTCCAAACAACTGCTTTTATTTTGCATTCTATTCAGTCTTCAGACTTTGTGCTGGAACATTCTGGCAGTTTATTTGATGTAGATTTAAGGTGTTTTTTCTGGCAGCCCAATTTTGATGCTAAGAAAATGAGAAATGTTAGATAATAAGTAGTAAAGGAGACTTTACTTTATGTTCATGATATATAAGAATAACCAATCAAGAATCCTTCTAATAAAAACTAGATTTCATAATAAATTAAGTTCATGAAATTTAGATCAAGCAGTTACTCAAAGCCATTTTCCGGATATTCTTCACTCATATAGAATTACTCCTGAATAGAAGGGAGATTGAATATGAAGTAGACTGATGCATATTAAATTTCAAAGTTACCAGAATCATTCTGATAGAGCTGTAAGAGATGTATGCAGCTGTGATGACTGTCCTTGTCAAAGCATCTGCAACTTGATGTATTGGCTGATGCAATATAATGAAAGGAGCTTAGTATGTGAATGTGTTTAATTATCATGTGAAGACTGGAAGATTGCCTTGGCTGGGCTTTTGAAGTTAGAAGAGTAGGACAGATATCTACTGCAATTGTGATCTTTCAAAATGTGTATTATACAAAATTCGCTTTTCACAAATTTTTGTAACCTGAATAGTTTTCCTAGGGCTTGGACCCTCATATGCTCCTTTCGTTGAAAGGAAATCATTGACTTCTGCAGGTTCCAGCTAGCTCCTGTTTTTATGACTTTGAGCTTTCCTTGAGGCCTGCAATAAAAAATTGGAAGAAAAGTTTGAACTTTCTCTTCTTTATGAAGATTTTGTTTAGGACCTTCCAAACAGTTTATCATTTTATCATACCGCTAATGTATTCCAATAGAATTTTCCACAGAATACCAAAATGAAATGCAATTTGTGCAGTGAAGAAAATGTAATTTTATTGTTTGATTCTGTTTGCACTGAAATAGACCCAGTTTGTAAATAAAGTAGATTGTACTTCATACTTGTACTATTGTGAACACAGGGTCAGCAAATGGGACAGATGGGCCAGATGAGTCAGATGTTCCAGCCAGGTGGAGGTGCTGGTTACTTTGTACCACAGATGCCACAGACCCAGAGAAGCTTCTTTGCTCCCCAGCAGATGCAACAGATGCGTGCCAGTCCAAGGTGGCAGACTGTCCGCCAACCAAATCCTGCTGGAGGTAGGTCAAGAGGAAAAGATAAAGTAGTTGTGGTTAATCATTGAACTGGCATAGGAGCTAGGTATTCAGGACATTTACTGTTGTGTTTAATCATTTAACTGGCACAGGAGCTAGGTATTCAGGACATTTACTGTTGTGTTTAATCATTTAACTGGCATAGGAGCTAGGTATTCAGGACATTTACTGTTGTGTTGTGTTTAATCATTTAACTGGCATAGGAGCTAGGTATTCAGGACATTTACTGTTGTGTTTAATCATTTAACTGGCATAGGAGCTAGGTATTCAGGACATTTACTGTTGTGTTTAATCATTTAACTGGCATAGGAGCTAGGTATTCAGGACATTTACTGTTGTGTTTAATCATTTAACTGGCATAGGAGCTAGGTATTCAGGACATTTACTGTTGTGTTTAATCATTTAACTGGCATAGGAGCTAGGTATTCAGGACATTTACTGTTGTGTTTAATCATTTAACTGGCATAGGAGCTAGGTATTCAGGACATTTACTGTTGTGTTTAATCATTCTACTGGCATAAGAGCTAGGTATTCAGGACATTTACTATTAAAAGTCCATTTTGTTTTAAGATCTATACATATTAAGAAGTTAAACACTTCTAGTATCATATGTAACATGAAATATATTGCTTATAATAAACATTCAGTTTATATGGTTGCTGATTTCTCATGCTACAGGCTTCCAGACCATGCCAGCTGGACCCCAAATGCGTCAATCACGTCCCACAGGCCAGGCAACTGTGCGCAGCAACCTAAATGCTCGTCCAATCACAGGACAGACTGGTGCACCACAGCAAAGGATGACCATGAACCAACAGCCAATGCCTGGCCGTGCACCACCAAATGTAGGGGCACCAAATGTCCAGACACCGGCCAACAGAGGTGCTTACAAATTCACCACTCAGATGCGCAATCCTCCACAAGCAGTCCAGTCTAACCAGCCCATGCAACAGGTATGTTACAGGGTTTTTAGGTCACCTGAGCTGAAGGCTCATGGTGACCTATTGCCATCATGATTTGTCTGTCGTCGTGCATTGTTAACTTTTCAAATATTCAACTTCTTCTCAGGAACCACTGAATAGATTTTGACCAAACTTGGCATAAAGCATCCCCATGGGAAGCCGCTTCAAGTTTGCGAAGAAAAAGGGCATGGCCTCAATAGGGGCCCCAGGAAGGGGGGAAAAGGGTGTAGAATTAGGTAAATCTTCTTCTCATGAACCAACAGTCAGATTAAATTCATATTTGATATTTAGGGTCCTTATGGCATAGTCTACAAAGTTTGCGAATGAAAAAAAAATGGGTCAAAAACGGCCCCACTAGGGGGGCGCTCAAAAGGGTCAAAAATTCAACTTTGACTGATTTCAACCAAATTTGGTAGAAAGCATCCCTTAGTGAAGGATATATGAAATTATGTTGAAAAAAGTGATTATGGCCCCTTTAGGGCCCATAAATGGTGTAAAAGGGGAAAGGGGCCACATGTAAAAACCTTCTTTAAATGACTTCTTCTCAAGAACCATTGGATGGATATTGACCAAACTTGGCACAAAGCATTCCCATGGGAAGCTGCTTCAAGTTTGCGAAGAAAAAGGGCGTGGCTCCAGGAGGGGGAAAAGGGGGAATCTTGATACGAATGTTCTACACAAGGTACTGGCAAGTGTTTTAACTTTTTGGGGCGATTCAAAATCCAAGATGGCCTCTGTTTGGCTAAGACATTATGGACTTCCTCTCAAGAACCATTGGGTGGGTCATGTTCAAACTTGGTACAGATGTTTTACACATGGTCCTGCACAAGTGTTGTTACATTTTTGCAACATTTTAAAATCCCCAGATTATTGACATATTCCTCAGGTGACCATTAAGGCCCCTTGGGCCTCTTGTTTAAGATAGTTTACAGAGGATTACGTAATGATTTGCAGGTAAAAAATATTTAACAAGTATGGAAAACATCTTTACTGTAATAATGTAACGAGTTTACATTGAACATCCTTGTTACTAGGTTTCTAGTTCCTTGTGTTTAGGAGTGAGAATGGTTATTTTGATGGCATAAATATGTATTATGATTTATTAGTAATGAACTAAACATGTATTGTCTATTTCTTTTTTGTGTACCTGATGTTGTATCTGATTGTTTTCCTGTTGCAGCAACCCCAGCAGGCTGTGCTTGTACAGGGCCAGGAACCTCTGACAGCATCCATGTTGGCAGCTGCCCCACCCCAGGAACAGAAACAGATGCTGGGAGAACGTCTTTTCCCACTCATCCAGAGAATGTATCCCGAACTGGCAGGCAAGATAACAGGAATGTTGCTGGAAATCGACAACTCCGAATTGCTTCACATGTTGGAGTCTCACGAATCCCTCGAGGCTAAGGTTGGTACTGACAAAATATATTTTTAACTGGAGTAATTTGGCATGCCTTTACAACTGCCTAGGAAAAACGTAGAAATGCTATTTTGGAAAAAATGCTTGGAATCGTCCTTCATTGCTTTAGGGTTCAATTTGTTTTATTGAAATTGCTTAAGAAAATAAAATACAATACAATAAGTATAGAAAAAAAATCTCCATTTTAAAGAAATAACTGCATAACTTTTAAAAGTATAAAAATTTCCTGGCGAACCATTTAAATTGAAGATTATGATTAATATTCATTCACAAGGGAAATGAAAATTGACTTCAGAGGATGCAAGACTTTAAACAATGTTTCTTGACAGGACATCAAACCCAAACATTTCATTGATGCCAAATAGCAATGTTTAAATGCAATGCCTGATGTAAACATAATGATTATAATAAAAATTATGATAAACATTAAGTCATTTTGATGAAGAAAAATAAGAGACTTGCTTCTCTTGGCGTTTGTGATTTTCAGTTAAATTTAATGTGTCTGTTACAGGTGAAGGAAGCTGTTGCTGTACTGCAGGCTCACCAGGCCAAGGAGACATCTGGCGGCAAACCAGGCTCTGACTAGGACATAACACCCTAACACCTCCTCTTCCTCATCACAGCAAGGCTACAGGTCATCAGAACCATTACATCTACCTGCTAGTTATCTCCAGTGTACTTCTGTAGTGATTTTATACCTCATGGAAACTTGTGGCATTGTACCTACATTTGTTTGATTATAGCTTGTGATCAAACATGAAAGTTTGTCATATTTTCTGACATAAATATTGAACATGGCACACTTTCAGAACTGTTGTGCCTCCGACACAGTATTAATTAAGGTTATCCAGGTATTTTTCATCCTATATTACATGTAGCCAGTTTTATTAATTATGGAAATGAATTCTGCTGATGTGTTTAAATCAATCCATCTTGTTTTTTCTGATGCTGTATATAGTGAATGAAGACTAGTCATGAGAATAGCTGTACTTGGAACATTCTGCTGTGACAAAAGATCCATCAAATGTTACCATTTTGTAATATTTTTGACAAGTGTTGTAGATATCTGTGGATAGGTGATGTGGTTTACTGTACAAATGTTGATGAAGGTGGAGGGGCGACTCACGATTTGTTATATCTTGGAGCGGTGGAGGTGCTGGAGTTGGTGTCATTGTTTGTCACCTGTATACAACTTAATCAAGTTCCCCAACTCCAGTACAACTGCCAGACTTCAAGCAGAAAAAAAAAAACTTCAAAAAAAATCGCAAAAACTTGTAAAAAAAATTCACATAAAGAAAATGGATTATTAACTTCATCTTTTTTTTTTAAGAAAACAGAAAAAACTATATATATATAAAATATGTATGAAAAAACGAACAAAAAAATTGAAAAACATGATAAATGCCTATGTATAAACATGTTGTAACCCTTGTTAATTTTAGAACTAGTTTGACGTGAAGAAGCACAAACACCTGTTACAAACTGACAAAAACTTAGAGAAGAGGGAGCGTTATTTTATGAGTATGAGGGATTTAGTTAATAATCCTTTTTATTCTGTTCATTTTTTTCTTTTCAGAAATTTTTAGTTCAAATAAAACTTCCGTTTCATATATGTGTTACTTTATTATTGTTACAACTCTGGTCTCCTCCCTTTCATCAGCCTATCACTTTTTTCACTCCTAACTGGAGAAGTGACATGATGTGTATATACGTTTTCGGGGTTAAGCTGTGATAGCTTGGTCAGTAAAACATCAGACTTCAACTTGAGGCTATGATCTGGTTTGTTGTTTGATCCCAACTCTGGGCCAAATTTTTGTCTGCGGGGAAGCCGTCATATTTGGTGTCCTTGGGCAAGGCATTTGACCCTTGTTGCTTCTGATAGTAAGTCCCATGCTCCTGATGCTGTATTACACAAAACTGGTCCGTTCATGGTATAAACCTTGGATAGTAAGTCCCATGCTCCTGATGCTGTATTACACAAAACTGGTCCGTTCATGGTATAAAACTTGGATAGTAAGTCCCATGCTCCTGATGCTGTATTACACAAAACTGGTCCGTTCATGGTATAAACCTATTGCACAAAACTGGTCCGTTCATGGTATAAACCTCGGATAGTAAGTCCCATGCTCCTGATGCTGTATTACACAAAACTGGTCCGTTGATGGTATAAAGCTTGGACCTTATTTCAAGGGTATAAACTTTCTTGGATACCACTAAGTGAATTGTTTATTCTTAAACTGTGTGATTTGTTTACTGCCACAAAAGCGACAAAGGTTTATCCTACAAATTTTGAGCTTACCTGGCCTGAAGATGAATTTTAACAAATAGCAATAACTATCATTAAGGGATTGAAGGCCCTAAATTTGGCGTCGTGGTATGATCAATATTGACAAAGATTCATTATCCTAGTTTGAATGCTAGCAAAATTATGCTCTGAACATAACAAAGGGCAATAACTTTGTAATTTAGTGGTCCTGAATTAGGTACCCTGCACATCGCTATAGTATAACCAATGTACACACCAAGGTTTATAATCTTTTGTTCCACTGTGGGCAAAGTTAAACTTTGACAAGATTGGACAGACATTTAAAAAGCTGTGTAAAATTTTCTGGGAGCATAAAAATTCATTAAATAGTTGCACCTCGTCTGATGTGGGTACCAAGCGTAGATCTTCATTTACCTACTGAGCACCATAAACATGGGCAGGCCTTTTTGCCCTTTTGGAGAAAATGCGACTTGAATTACCTTAAAATTGGATCAAGGTCAATCATATGAAATATTTGCATAGTTTCACTTTTTGTTGAAACAGGCCTTTAGTTACTAGTATGCTATTTGGGCCGAAGAGTGCTGGAGGAAAGTTCATCGAGATAATTTCAAATGAATTATTGTGACCGACTTGTAAAGTCAAAGTGTGGTTATAAGAAATCTTTTAAAATATTTTCTCAGAATGACATATAGGTGGAGGGAAATGGTATACACACATACAGCACAGGTAGTCTTATTTGGTTTCTTGGTACTACTAACAAGGTTTAGCCGCCAGCCTGTCGATTGTGTACATTTCATTAAGAAATCTGTTATAATAGGACTTGCTGGTGAAACAGTCCATACACCATACATAAACTTATAAACCAATAATATGCATTGTCCTGTAATGACCCCTGACTTAAAGTAAGGAGTAAAGTTTTTTTCTACAATATCTGTCATAGGAAGGAGTAATAAAAAACATCCTGTTATCATGGGGATTCAATGCTTCGGTCTCAAGCAGGACAGTCTACTGCTCAATCATGGGAAATTCCCACAAGCTAAGGCTAGTAAGGCAACCTGTACACCATGCCTTCATACCAACATAATCAAAAATAAAAGCAAAAACTGACGATTTTGTCGATTTTGTAATCAAGTTTAAACAAAAATATATCCCTTATATAAATATGCTAATTCCAAAATATAGTTCTGATTAAAATCAATTACTGTATAACAGTTTTCATGGAAAAAAATCTGAAAATAAATCCTAAACATATAAATACCTGTACTTTGTACAGCAGTCTAACACATTTGAATCGCCTCATATATATGATTTAAAATAGCATTGTATATCAGTAATGGCACGATATCCATGAATGAGTATTTATATGTCGCCATAAGGACTTTTAATACAAGAAACAAATGGTTCTGAAAGGTCAGGTGTTTGTAAAGATCTTTGATATAACAGTAGTAATGATAGTGGGTACAATAACTGAATGCTTAAAACGATTCTAAATACCTTGGATTTACTCTCTTCATTTCACTTTCTCAATATTCATACAAAATACTTACTCAATGGCACAAGTTGAAATGGATAAGAATAAAATGTTTTTAGAGACGACAGTCATACTGGATTTTGGACTTGCCAAGAAAATATTCACACTTGGTGAGGACCATCTCACGGAAGGCAAGTATGAACCACTTCCAAATGGGGGACTTGAGAAGAATATCAAAATATGAAGTTTATTAATGGCACCTGATGGACAAAACACAAGTGCTATCCTAACCCTGATAAAAAACAACCTACCATTTGTGGCTCATTTTGTTAACAATTGAGCACAGTAACAAGTGCAAGTACCCCTCATTAGATATAATTTAAGATGGAAGTCTGACCACAAACCCAATTTTTTTTATATTAAATATGTCTCTTCGAACAGTTTAAAACGAACACACCAATTCTAATAGTTCTGTGAGTTTGAAAAAAAGCTCAAATTTGTTGTAAATCAAAGGAAAAAATGAATTCATTTGATTGTTTATCTGGTAAATCTTTGATAAATCATGATTCAGTACAGGTACTATTGTCAAAATGTTAGCAACACAAAATATGCAGTATGTATAACAGGTGTATATTTTTCTCGATAAGGAAATAATAGTAAAATTGTTTAGTAATTGTTTCATGTATAATATCATAATTCTATATAAATGTATATCAACTGTATACATCCTTACAATATTTATTTTTCATTGATCCAAAGTGATACAAAATAATGACAGTAATTTACAAAGGATATCATTGCTAATGTTTGCATTGATTAATAAGATAGATAAATTTAGGATAGAATTTCCAACAAATAAAACATGAAAAAAAAAAGATGAAAAATGGATATGTTACTGATGCGTTCAGACACAATGTACTTGACATGGCATAGAACTTCTATATAGAATATCTTTCGACAGAAAGTTGCAAAATTCTGTATCTGTAAAATGATAAACACTTCAACAGTACTATTTGCAAAAATTTCAATGTGATTGTCAGAAGTTTACTGAAAGATCAGGTACTGCAAAAACATGAAATGAGTCATTCACACAAAGCTTGTTGAGTGTTTGCCAACATAATCTTTCACCAAGGACTAAAATTTTCCATCCAAAAGGGGTAGAATGGAAAGTTTTTGTCTTCTTTTAAGGCCATCTCCATGCAAGGCAATGCTGTATGTTGAACAGAGTCACAACTTTTAAACCCTCCGTTGAGACATTTTAGGAAATTTCACATCAGCCAAAGTCTGGATAATCCTGTCCAGGGTTAGGGTAAGCGTTTAATTGCTCTTGATGGTTACAGGAAATGATGTTAGATTTCTGGATAAAAATGATTTTCGTGTCCATCCATGGACAATATCTTGTCTCCAGAGCCTGTAGTAGTCTGACCTGTAATTGAATAAAATATATTAATGTTTACCAACAACCACACAGGTACGATCGCACGTTGATTAAAACACCCAAGTCTTATTTTATTAATATTTGTTCCTGGTCTTTATAGTTTCATTTTAATATCAGAAATTCTATTTACAGTAGTCCTACATGCGTGATCACTCTGCTCTTTGAATCATGTGTTATTCATTATCATTACTGTGTGCTAGTATACTTTGAATACTTTGACAACCTCTAAAAATCTCTCCGCAAACGCGGGCAATACCCCACAGCCTTATTATAAAGTTGGATGCAGGGCTGAGATTGTGAAGAACCTCAATAGGCTGTGTAAGTCCATAGGCCCAACATGCCCAGCAAAAATGGTGATCGCTAGTGATGTTGTTCTTGAGATAATAAGCGGAATGCAAATTCAAGATGGCGGCAGTAACCGCCATATTGGATATTGGGGGGAGGAAGAAAAACAATAGGGTCGTATAGGTCAATAGGCTTAACATCCTCAGTAAAAATGGTGACCACCGGTGTTGTCGTTCTTGAGATAAGGAGCGGAATGCAAATTAAAGATGGGGCCGTAACCACCATATTGGATATCGTGCGGTGACAAAAAACAATAGGGTTGTTTAGGTTCATAGGCCCAACATCCCCAGAGAAAATGGTGATGACTAGTGACGTAGTTTTTGAGATAATAAGCGGTATGCAATGGTGGATGGACGGACAGACGCTGTGTGTGATTGCAATACTCCACACCCTTTCGGGCTGTTGGGTAAAAATTGTTGAATCTACTTACATTTGTCATAACTGCACCTGTTTCTACTCAACATGGATAGCCATAGCTTTGGCCATGAGTCGGTCAGTCAGGGGTGCATTCTGTTTTAGTGCTTTTCGTTCCGTCAGCAGTGATCTATAGAAAATGAAAAATGTAAGTATAAATGTAAAATCTAGATCAGTATTTTGATAAACAAGAGGCCCATTGGGCCTGTATCGTTCACCCAGATCTTAAAGCCCAGCAATGTTTTACATGCCTATAGGTTGGATATTTTAAATATTTCTGAAACAAAGCTCAGTCACTTAACCTCTTTGATGGGGCAAGAACGAAGGGTAAATTCTCATATCATAACTGTCTTCTCTTTTGATTCCCAGTAAGAGTTTATAAGGTTATCGGGTTGGGATCTCAACTATATCAATAATATGACCCAGAAATAATATCCCTTGAGGTTTGCCACACCCAGGGGTCATCAATGTGTTTATCCCTTGACGCCAAGCATATGGTTATGGAGTTAGGGATTTCAACTGTTCCAAAGATAGCACCTAGAAATTAAGTCCAGAGGGGTGGGGCCATACTCAATGGCCAGTCCTTACATTGTGAATGTGTTTATCTCTTGATGCCCAGCATTTTCCATGTATGGTTTAGGGGGATCTCAACTGTTTCAAAGATATTACCATAA